TGACCTCAGCAACTTCTTACAATAAAAACAAACACTACACCACCCACTCACTTCCAGTTACACATGGACCAAAACACTCATTTTAAGACATCATTATTTTAAAGTCATGCTGACACACACAAAAAAAGGCCACAATTTCAATGAATATAATGATTATTCTCAAGGTTGTGCTGTCAAAACTAAATCTAATGCCTGTCCAGCTGGACCTCCTGTTGTCTCTCCTGAATCAGATCTTTGGTTGTGAGTCACGTAAACCACACTAAATTGATGCTGACTGAGTTATAACAATCTATTTCTGTAGTTTAGATCTGGCGTAAGGCCTCTATAATTTCATCTGCCTAAACAGTGACTCAGACCACACAACCTGCCTCTGTCTATAATTACGTTAAGCGTTTCAGTGTCCTGTTTCAATCACTCACTTTAAATGCAGAACCTTAAAACACGTGGAGAAGTTACAAAAGAGCACTGGAGACTCGCATCTAAAACTAAACACTGGAGAATAAAACATCATTCCCTCAATTCAAGATTCAAAGCTTTAATTGTTATTGGAGCAATGCCTGCAACAGAGTTTGAGTGCTGCGTCTTTGTCTGACGCATAAAAACATAAATAATCACAACTGTTTATGAAAAAATAACAAAGGGCACAAGATCTGACACATAACCTGTTAGGTTATAGGTACAAAACAATGTTACTTCTATGAGGGCCATCGATCTTGGCTTTAAGACACTTAAAGGGACTTTACGTAGTTTTGAATTTTTATGCTCGCAATTGCCCCCTCAGGCCAAAAGCGTAACGGCAGCTTCAATAGTAGTCTCGTGTACGAGGCGCGCATGCTGTACATGCACACTCCTTAATGAAAATAACAGCTGAGACGTGTGTGTGTGTGTGTGTGTGTGTGTGTGTGTGTGTGTGTGTGTGTGTGTGTGTGTGTGTGTGTGTGTGTGTGTGTGTGTGTGTGTGTGTGTGTGTGTGTGTGTGTGTGTGTGTGTGTGTGTGTGTGTGTGTGTGTGTGTGTGTGTGTGTGTGTGTGTGTCCCGGAGGACAGAGGACAGGAGAACGCGCAGCTAATTAAAGGTTTATGATGGGTCAGTCCTCCTGCATGCTCAGATCATGTCCTTCCCTTGCTTGAAAAATTGCTCCAAAATGAAAGTTGAACCCACATCTTTATCTGTGAATTCAATGCCATTCGGCGAGTCTGAAATAAAAATTTGGGCATCTTACTGTAAAAAAATATACCACTAATGTAAAAAAGAAACTCTAAATAAACTATGTTTACACCCAGAATCGATCCCAGGTCTCCTGCACGAGAGTCCGACGCCTAACTAGATAAGCTAATGCACCAATGACATCTTTTGTATCTGTAATATTTATATCCTTGATTACATCATTGGGCAGCAGTAGCTGAGCGGGTTGTCCAGTAATCGGAAGGTTGCAGGTTCGATCCCGGCTCTGACAGAGAATTCTGCTGTTGTGTCCTTGGGCAAGACACTTAACCCACGTTGCCTGCTGGTGGTGGTCGGAGGGACCGGTGGTGCCTGTGCTCGGCAGCCTCGCCTCTGTCAGTGCGCCCCAGGGCAGCTGTGGCTACATCGTAGCTCATCACCATCAGTGTGTGAATGTGTGTGTGAATGGATGAATGATACACTGTAGTGTAAAGCGCTTTGGAGTCCTTACTCTGAGAGGCGCTATACAAGTGCGGGTCATTTTTCATTTACAGCTAAAACAACGTTCAAAGAACGGTTCAGAGCGAAAATGGCTATTTTGTTGCTAATTTGCAGGAAATATCTAGAAGAAAGTAGCTAAGGGTCCTCAGAAATGTAGCTAGGTTCATCACTAGGCGTTAGGAACAGCGACAAAGTCGCTGAGTTGGCACTACCTCACTCTCTGCTGCTAAAGCTACTGATAGCAAATGCTACGGGCTATGCCTGAGCGTCAACGCGCATGAAGCAGCCTGCTCGACCCGAGCATCTCTCTTTTTCTGTGATTTTACAGCAAAACAGGCAATCACAGTAAAAATGCCAGGGCTCATTCTACAGGACCAGGACATTGCAGGAGAATGTATGAAGAAGAAATGTATTATTTCTATACATGTTTTGGCTGTCAAACTTCCATAATGCCCCTTTAAAGACAGTTTAGACAGACCAATTAACCTGACAGTCATGTTTTTGGACCTTGGAAAGAAGCCGGAGTACCCAGAGAGAACCCACGCATGCACAGGGAGAACATGCAAACTCCCTGCTGAGAAACCCCAGGTCGAGATGCGAACCCAGGACCTTCTTGCTGCAAGGCAACAACGCCACTGTTGGTTTCAAACATATAACCATAAAAATCAGGTCTAAAACACACGGGAGCCAGTCTAAGTCTCTGGGCGACGCCTACAGGAGCCCATGAGGACAAAACACATTTACTTATTTGTAACAAACAGTTACAAAACTTTCACCATTAATAAACATTGTTTTACACACTTAACTCTTCACTTGTTGCCAGTGATGAAAGGAAGTCAGATGCAATTGTCATTTTGCTGGAGGTTACACTCCCAGGGAAGTTTTGACCCTAATGGGCATCCGTTGGTAAGGTCTTCCTTGAACACAAAAATACTGCTTGCTTGTAATGATTTAGGTATCTACTGCTTTCTATTGCCAGGGAAAACACACAGTGTTCCTTCCGATGTCCACAAAAAGGCCAGGTGACCCAGTCAAAGGCAAGATGGCCATGGTCAAGGCCAGGTTAACCAGTTAAAGACCAGGTGACCAAGGACAGGGCTAGGTGAACATGTTAAAGGTCAGGTGACCCAGCAAAAGGACAGCTGATCTAATCCTTGAACCATATACTGTATATGTAAAACATTTTCTTTCCTCAAAGCAAAGCACCAATAGTTAGTTTGAGAAAAATCATTAAACAAGAAGAAAATATTTAAATAAATACATGACTCTGACATTATGGTGGCACTCTTACATCTGTTTATAACATAAATAACTCCCTCACCATTCCACCTCCAGGATGTGAAGTAGATGCCTTGTTTCAGCCTAATCAGACCATGAAGTCATTTTAGATGTCACTTAATCCAATGAGTTTCTCACTTAAAGAAACAATGTGTATTTTCCCTGTTGATAGGGGGCAGTACATACCTAAATCACTGCTTGCATGCAATATTTTTGTGTTCGAGTAAGATCTTACCAACAAATGGCCATTAGGGTCAAAAATCCTTGGGAGCGAAACCTCCAGCAAACTGACAAGTACATAAGACTCTCATTCATCACTGGCCATGAGCAAAGAGGTAAATGTACAAAATAACATTTATGAATAGTGAACGTTTTGTAACCGTTTCAACAACATTTTGGTAAAAACTAAACATTGTCACTTTAATAGTTTAATTGCAAAATAAAGTCAAAAACAAATATTTAATTATCTCAAAATTACATAAAAAGTATTGATTCTGGGACTCTTCTGTCTTTGATCAGTAATAAACTTTTATTTTGTGCTGCAGTGTTAAATTATGCACACAAAATCTTATTAGCTTGATCTCTTCTAAAGAGTTTCTGTGCCCATTAGAGAGTGAGTTTCTGAAGGATGATAAATAACTTTTATTCAGAAGAACATAAAAACCACAGGCTACTAATGGGGTATTATTACAAGAATAAAATACATAATGTGTGCTTTATAAACACAATCCTATCATTAAATCCTGCTGTAAACAATCTCTGAATATGAAAAATAGCATAGATAAAGGTGTCTATTAGATAGCAACGCTGTGGAACTCAAATTTTATGGGAGAAAATAATACAGTATGGCGCAAAAGGAGCAACAATATACAGAGTTAATTTTATTGAAGGTGGAGTGGATGACGATGTTTCTCTGGGGCCCTTTTTGCCATATTGCTAGAAATGCTCTTGCCATACTGAAGGTAACCAATAAATTAAATGTTTTGTCGAAATATTAATAATTGTAATGCCTTTTGAAACGTACAATCCTAGAAAAAAAACCATCCGATCATTGTGAACATCTTGTTCTTATTAATTGGATCCCGATCATCCATTATTCATCTGTTCCCCGACCCCCCCTACATACCCCTCTATGCTAGGCTAGTTACGCCAGCTAGCATTCTAAATTGTTATGATTACGTAGTCTTAGCAGAAGTCAAGGAGATTTCCAGTTTAATAAGCCCGATCCAACTTGGTCAAAAAGTTAAAAGAACTATGTTTGTATATATGTTTGATAGTATCGGTTACATCTGGCATTCTCCTGTACTCTGGGGGCGTGTCCAGTGGGCGGAGCAAAAAGAAGGGGGGGGGGGTCTTATAATTTGGTGTTTTCACAAATGTAGCTTACTGGAATGACTTCTTCCAGGATCATCGACCCTATCTTCTTTGAATATGTAATTAATGTAACGTGAAAACGCATCTTAATACTTAAAATGGTCTTTAGATTACCTCCAAGAAATGTGTTGTTTTAAATCAGATGTTTTGGAGTATTTCCAGAGTGCAGCTATGTCCTCTTAGCTCCAGATCTTAAACTTTAAACACGTGTCATCATCTTATTTTGAGCGACCAGATACACATCTATGTCACTTAGTGATTTTATTTGATGTAACAGTTAAACACAACAAATCTCGGCTTGTGTTTGGGCACCATGTAGTAAAACAAAGCTGCTGGCCAACGGGGGAGGATACCGGCTAAAGGATGTCACAATAAGTTGCTGAAGAAAGTGGAAACAAAAAGTCTGAACATGTCTTCCCTCTGAACAGAACACCCCTCCACCCTCCTGAACTTTCACATCGAGTTCTCCTTTTAGTCACACAGATACAAAACACACACACACACACCGACAGAGAACAGTCGCAGTGAACTAAAGTTTTGTTTAAACTTTTTCGAGAGGTTTTCTCGTTCGAGTTTTTTTTTTAACACGCTTCGACAGATTCACTCGGCTTCAGAAGCCCCAGAGCCGACAGAGACGCGGAGGGAGGAGACAAGCACAACGGCTAGCTGGACGGATAACTTACATGTGAGGAGGGCAGCAGGAGGAGCGGAAAGGGCAGATCTTTGTTGTCTTCTCTCTGGAAAACCGCTGAGCCGCAGCTATTACGGTGCCGAATTATAGGCTCCGCCCCAGGGGGGCGTGGCCAAAGATCAGTGCGGCCGTCTGCGTGAGCTGGTCTGTTTCAGGCACACAGCCATGCAAAAACAGTGAAATTGTTAACAGCATCACTTCCTGAACACTCGGTATGGGAGAGAAAAAGTTAAACCCATAAACATGTTGAACATTTCCGGGGGAGCGGGCTGCTGCCTGAACCTCCAACATCCACTGTGCAATATTCAAAGCATTGTGATGCACAAAATGTTAAATACTATGAAAGGAAATGATGATTACAAGGCAAAGCAAAGCAGCTGTCAGTGGCTCATTAAGCTCACCACAGTGACCACCCAGCATAAGACAGACAGGAATGTTAACCTAACAGTCAGCTTCCTGTGGAAAACTTATGACTCCCAACTACAAACTCCTGCTGTTTGCTATTTGAGGGGGAGCTGAAGAGGGAAAAAAGAAAAGATCTGAAAAGAAGTAGACTTTATCGTGGTACTTTATCCTGTTATGTAAAATAATGTTTTTGTAAATGTATGGCCATTTCTTCCTTTGTTAAATAGTGTCTAATGGGCTGGGCACGTGTTGTGCATGACACTTAAATAAAATCCATTCATTCATGAAGACCGTCTAAAAAATAGTGAATTGCCAATTTTATATTTTGTACAAAAGTTGTAAAAATGAACAAATGAGTCTAATGATCTCAGAAATTTCTGTGACAGCTTAAAACTGAATCCTGTGACCTTCAGAATAAGAAAACAGTTTCATTCTCACTTATGTTTCTAAAATTCCCACTGGTTTTACAAGTGCTTGGGATTTGAGGATTGTAATTTAAATTTGGTGCAATGGCTGCAGTGCAGCCCATCAGAATTTAGTCAGTTTTAGTTTTAGACTGTGAGTTCAAATGTAAGATTGGCCACACTTTAGTTTGAAGGATTCAGGAGTCAGTATGATCTTAAATCAAATCAAATATGATATTTAATGTGAAAGTATCTCTGTCCAGGTGATTAAAATCATCCATTTCCAGACGCTCATCTGGAGTCTGGTCGCGGGGGCAGCAGCCTGTAGAGGCCCAGACTCCCTTCTCCCCAGCCACTTGGGCCATCTCTTTCGGGGGAATCCCAAGGCATTCCCTGGCCAGCTGAGAGACATAGCCCCTCCAACATGTCCTGGGTCTTCCTGTTGGTCTCTTCCTGGCTGGACTTTTGCGGAAAACCTCACCAGAGAGGAGTTCAGGAGGCATCCTAACCAGACGCCCGAGCCACCTCAACTGGCTCCTCTCGATGTGGAGGAGCAGCGGGTCTACTGTCAGTCCCTCCCAGATGACTTCTCACCCTCTCTCTAAAGGAGAGCCCAGCCACCCTGCAGAAAAACCTTAATTCAGCTGCTTGCATTGGTGATCTCGTTCTTTGGGTCACTACCCAAAGCTCATGACCATATAGATCAACCAGTAAGTCAAGAGCTTCACCTTCCTGGCTCATCTCTCTTGTCACCATGACACATCGGTACAACGCCCACATCACTGCAGATGCAGCACCAATCCGCCTGTCGATCTCACGCTCCATCTTTCCCTCACTTGTGAACAAGACCCCGAGATACTTAAACTCCTCCGCTTGGGGCAGGACCTCATCTGGAGAAGGCATTCTACCCTTTTCCAATGAATATCAGCTAAAATTAATAATTATTTACAGACAACATCAATAGAAGTTCAGTTTTTTATTTCTATTTTCCTATTGTGTTTCAAGTTCTATAAAAGCAATTTTCTTGAAATGGCTCAAAAACAGGAGGCAGGCAAGGCGTTGGCAAACTTGACAAGACACACATAAACAAATCTGAATCAGGAAAAGAACCGTAGAAACAAGAACCACAAGGAGGATGACGAAGAACGATACAGAGAAGGTAGAAGAGGAACCAGGAGAACTGAACACAACAGGGAGCTACAAGAAATGACATGAAAGAATGCCAGGATGCTGAATTATAACGCAGTAAATCCAAATAAATTGCATTTATAATCAATTCCAAAACCCAAACAGAACTAGAAAGGCAAATCAAGTTTACAAATAACCTCATTTTATTCTACAGATATCAAAGCAGATGTGAGTCCTAGTGAGAAAGTTTCTGGTGAACACCAGTTCTAACAAGTTGCCCTTTCTTTATTTAGTGTTATTTTACAGAAACCTTCAGCCTGAGGGCTAACAGCAGCATGTCTGTAAATATTCTCAGGGATCCTGCATTTGTGGGAGTGCAGACTCCCAGAACTCAGTTGTGCTGAACTGAAAGTTGATGACTTGTCCAGGTTCGCTGGAACTTCTTAACCGAGATGGAAAACATGAATCAATTTAGCAGGTCTCTTCCTGCTTCCTCTTCTTCTGTGACTCAGTTTCCTTTCCAAAGCAGCTCTGTGCAGTTGGGTGTTTGCAACCTTACTACAGTCACTGGTTTGCAGAGGTGTCTCCATAACAACGGCAGAGCTGGCATCAGTTAAAACGTCCTCCTGAAGCTTCTGGACCAGATTTATGCAGTGTCGCAAGTTAATGGTTTAAACTCCTTTTCTGCACTGAATCAGGATGAAGTACCAAACGTCTTGCTACTTAAACCCAGATGACAGGAACTCTGGGTAAAGCTGGACTGTTTGTTTAATCTTTACGTTTCCTAATGTTTTCCTCTGTCCCAGATGTCCAGTTAACAAGTGAAATGAGGTCATGGAGATAACGAATCTGTCTTTGTTCACTGTGAAGTTTGATGTACGGAGTGTGCATGGTGATTAGTTAACCAGCTGATACGGGGCCAGTGTTTTTGTAACGGCACGAGGAAATGAGAAAACGCTGAAGCTGATTGGTCCGACTCACTTCCTTTTAGTGCATGGGCAAGCTTCTCCACAGGGTGTGATGATCAGTTAGGTTTTTTTCTAGGTAAACAGGCCTTGCTTATCTCAAAAACATCAACTCCTTTTTAAAAAGCTAATTTTTGCACAAACCTTTGTTGAAGCCGTTAAAACGAGACTGCTGTTCTTGCATGCAACTTCTCTTGATAATCTTCAGAAAATGAAATTAAAGTGTGCTTAAATGCCACATTTGCTTGTTTTTTAATGCTGGTATGACAGAAAACACGAACACACGAGTCTGATAGAGAATGTTGTCAAACATAGAAAGGATGAACAAGTGAACTGAACACTCACATACATTTAACTAAGCAAACAGGTATATTATATATTGGATAATTACTGCAGGGCGATTATCCTTTAGCTGCAACAAGCTATTTAACCCAACTGGTGCAACGAGCTGCTTCTCATTTCCTAAACAACCATGTGGAAAGACACCTCTGGTGGTCATGGAGAAGATGTTAGTCTGTGTGAGAAGGGTCAGATCATTGGCATCAAGCAGAGAAAACATCTGCATCTGCAGAAACTACTAAAACTGGGTTCTGAACTGTCCAACGCTTTATTAGAACTGGTCTGATGAGTCCAGATGGACCCTGTTCCAGAGTGATGGTGCATCAGGGTAAGAAGAGAGGCAGCAAAACAGAGACAGAGAAAGAGGAAATTCAAACCATCTCTTCCATCGATCATAATGGGCAATGTGAGATCACTGGCCAACAAGATGGAGGAACTTTAAGCCCTTTCAAGGACTCAGCCAGAGTTTCGTCAGTTTCTGAACCGCTGGAGGAGATGATGCAAAGAAGGATTCTCCAGAGAATCAAGAAAATTATGGACAACCCTGAGCTTTCTCTTCACAAGACTGTCCGACAACAGAAGAGTGTCTTCAGTCAGAGGCTTCTTCAGTTTTGCTGCAACACTGACCGCTACTGGAGATCTTTCCTGCCAACAGCCATTGTAATATACAACAACTCTTTGATGACTTGATTATTATTCTGAGCTACTACAGCAATCAATTTCCCTCTGGGATTAATAAAGTATTTTTGAATTGAATTGAATTGAGATGAAGTGATGTACCCATCATGCCTAGTGCCTACTGTACAAACCTGTGGGGGCAGTGCTATGATCTGGGCTTGCTGCAGTTGGTCAGGTCTAGGTTCAGCAACAGGATGTGCTCCAAGAATGAAGTCAGCTGACCACCTGAATATCCTGAATGACCAAGTTATTCCATCTCCCATATTCCAAGATGACAAAACCAGGATTTATCAGGCTCAGATAGTGAAAGAGTGGTTCAGAGTCCAGACCTTAACCCCACTGAGGATCACTGGGATGTGCTGGAGAAGGCTCTGTGCAGCGGTCAGACTCTACCATCATCAGTGCAAGATCTTGGTGAGACATTAATGCCACACTGGATGGAGATAAATCTGGTGACGTTGCAGAAGCTTATCGAAACAATGCCATGGCGAATGCGTGTCATGGTCAAAGATAAAGGCAGTCCAATGGAACAGTAGTGTGAGACTTATTTTTGGGTGTAGACTTTTTTTTTGGATGGGCGGTGTAAATCCCGTTCATGACAACAAATGACAGTCGATGAAAATAAGTTTGTCTTTCATCTTGTTTTCTTCTACGACTTAAAACTGTTCAATTCAAGTTTATTTATATAGCGCCAAATCAGGACAAGAGTCGTCTCAAGGACCTTCACACAGTAAACATTCCAATATAGGTCAGTTCATTAAGCCAGTCAGTAAAAAGTTTCCTATATAAGGAACCCAGCAGGTTGCATCGAGTCACTGACTAGTGTCAGAGCCTTAAATCCTCAAACTAAGCAAGCATGCAGTGACAGTGGAGAAGAAAACTCCCTTTTAACAGGAAGAAACCTCCAGAGGATCCTGGCTCAGTATAAGCAGCCATCTGCCATGACTCACTGGGGATGGAGGAGAGCGAGCAGACACACACACATGTTCTACAATGACTGAAGAGTTTCTCTCTTTCCTAATCTGCTAATAAACACATTTTTCTTTCTTAATAATCACCTCACATCATTTTCAATAAGAAACCTGCGTTCCACTTGCTAACTGACTGATTATGATGCAATTAATGTTCAGATGTTACTTTTTATTCCTACAGACAACATCTCAAAAGTTAGTAGGTGGGCAGGGCGTTTAGTCACAGTATACGGCTGCTAAAGGTACATTCTGCTATAAAATGGCTTCACACTTCAGCACTATTGCTTTAGTGTGAGATACTACCCGTAATTACACTCAAAGCTGCATTCAAGAACACTTCTGAGTATAAGGTGTTGCACAGGGAAGGTCAGGTAAAAGGCACACTTAGCGACAAATATATGGCAAACGACATGAGGTTGTCTCTTTTCTGTAGCATGCACATGAGATTTACTAAATCTAGACATGTCCAGATGTGGTTAAACATGAAAAAAAAATAATGGTTTAACAATAATAATAAAAAACTGAAGTGGCTTTGTCCTACAGAGATACACAGGTTTTAGTAAAATCGCCAAACTTCTGTGTAAGATCCATTTAACAGCTTGCTCTACTGTTGCATCTGTTTATTAGAATAAAAAGCTCTGAACTCTTGATAAAAACAACATGAAATATGAAATACGGTATTCAAAAAGCAAAGATACTTGAGGTTAACATTTCTAATAATGACAAATGATGATAGTGCCTTAAGTGACACCGTAATAACAGAACAGCCGTGGTTTTATCTGAGCTCAAAGGGTGGTCTGGACGGCTGATGTCATCTTACTTTTGAAATCGTTTGATGGAGAACACAAGGTTAAAGTAGGACACTAAAACACAATGAGATTGTGTGTGTGTGTGTGTGTGTGTGTGTGCGTGTGTGTGTGTCTCTGTCTGTCTGTCTGTCTACAGGATCACACAGCAGCAGGTGGCAGGGTAGTCTTCAGCGCTGACTTTGTTTTCATTCCCGTAGACGTAGAAGACATGCATGTTGGTTTTCCACTTGTAGTTGACCTTGGTGATGGGGACCAGGTCGACCACATGCCTCTGAGGGATACACACACCAGGTCAGATTAGTGAATTAGGCAAAAACCTTTCTGGAACTGCTCGTGTCTGAATTTAAATGAAAACAAACCCCAATATGTAACCCTGTGGGTAGAAGGAAAGTTTAAAAATAACGATCCCCAAAAATCAATGCTTCCACCAAATCCTGCTTGCATTTATTTATGCAGCATGAATACTTAATGCATAACCATGAAGAACTAATGCACAAGTGTTTAATGTGCAAAACCATCTAGCTCATTAGATGACCCAGATTGGTGCTGAACTTGGTCATCTAAAGTGAAAAAAAGATAGTAAATAAAACAGTATTAAGCAAGTTTTCAACAGAAGAACAAAAATGATTTTAGCATATTTGGTCACATTTCAGTCCAAAAATAAGATGTGAAATTTGATTTTTTTGTTTTGTTTTCTAAACTGAAATAAAAACTTTAGGAGATTTAAATTTAATCTTTTTCTCTTACCTGCTGCAGGATCCTGGAGGTCTGAGCGAACTTGGTCTGATGCTCTTTGATCAGACGGTCAGAGGCCTCGAAGATGGATGCATTAGGGAACCCATGCAGCGGGTACACCTGTGAGAACACACACCTGAAGATATAACAGCAGAGTCCTTTTATCATTCTCAGTCTCATAGCTGTGTGTGTGTGCGCGCGCGTGCGCGCGTGCGTGCGTGCGTGCGCGCGTGAGTGCGTGAGTGCGTGCGTGCGTGCGTGCGTGCGTGCGTGCGTGCGTGTGTGTGTGTGTGTGTGTACCAGGCATTGGCTGTACTTGAACAGCTCCTTGCCGCTCACAGAACTCAGATCATCAACCTTTAGACCAGAGTTCTGCTCCGCAAAAAAAGTATCCGTCTGAGTTTTCCTAAAAAGACAAAACATTCATGAAGCTGCCTCATCAACGTGCATGCGTGTATCCGACAATAGCAGAGAGCACCGAGCTCATATTAGATGTTTGGAGATGCAGAGAGGAGGGATACGTTGGTAGAAGGATGCTTAGAACTGTCAGGAAGAAGACCAAAAAAAGGCCAAAGAGGAGATTTATGGATGCAGTGAAAGAAAGCTGATTGGTGGGAGAGAGGTTTAGATGGAGCCAGATGATTCATTGTGACCACTCCTGAGGGGTAAAGCCAAAAACAAAAAGACAAAGAAAGTCATGCACCAACTACCAACTAGATCCATGATTGATTCTTCATCTATGGAGGTGTGTGTGAGCTCCTGCGCCTTTTGCTCAGGCAACAGGTGAAAATCCCACAACTTATTTCTGGTAGCAAGAGGCATTTAGTGAGGCTCTAGTCTGTGTATGTCTAGATAGTCTGACCAGTACAGTCAGGGAGGCCTTGGGATGTAATGCAAACACACATGGCTAGGGGCCAAAGGTCAGCATGCACAGAAGGCCAGAAATAAATCAGTAATACTGAGCAGCAGATAGACGGAGGTGATGACAGAAGTCACTTGGCTGTGTCTGGTTCAACCTAAACGCAGTGCTGTAAAAGCACCGGGGACGACAGCAGTGGTGAAAACACTCAAACGGGAATTAAATCACATCTTGATCCATTTTTATTTTGGGAATTAAAATTCTTCCCACATTCCTGAAACATCATAAATGAGCTATTTTTTTCTGGGTGTAGTCTAAACGATTCCATAATCTTCTCTTCAGTTGTGTCATCTGACTTCTGTAAAAATCATTTAAAAGACAACAACAACTTCTAGAATGCCCCAGTGACCTGTTAACCTTTATACGCCCCTTTAACATGGAGAGCATGTCTCCTCCTGGTGCACAAAATCAGACGAGGAGGATCAGACGGTTAAAGGTTTTTAAAGGCCTTTTTGTTGAAGCTAAAACAAATAAAGACTTCTTCATGATTCCCTTGGCAAACAAATACATACAAATAAAGTTCTTTTATACAATAATCTTGTAAAATAGTCATTTAAAATATTTCCTTAACCAAATTAAACCCCTTTTCACTTAAAAAAATCATCTAGAATAATATAGCTTTTCAAATGTCAGTATCAGTTTGTAAATTACTTCAAACACCCATCCCAAAAAGCACCTGCTGGATCTTGATCATCTCTCTGAGGGTTTCTACATCCTGAACTCTCTGGATCTCTAAATAATGAAAGTCTGTGCAGACATGTAAAAACCTGTTTAAGGGTTAGGGTCCCTGACACAAAACCCCGGTGCTCTTTATGAACACTCACCACTCCACTTTGAGTTTGACGTAGGTCAGTAGCTGTTTCTTTCCTTTACAGGTGTTACACTGAATCGTCCCACGGCCAGAACACGTAGAGCATCTAAACACACAAATGCAGACGTGCTCAGGTGTGACATGTCTTTGTATTCTGGTCTTGCAAACATAAAGGAGCAATAAAAGAGGTTTGTCATCAGTTATTTTTCCTAAAGTAGGAATCGTCATGGTATTATTTTTTCTACTTAAAGAGCAAGTCACCCCCTACCAACTTGCTGTTGCCTGGCAGACCAAGAGGGAGGAGCCGCAATCATATACACACACACACACTCACAATGACATTGTGACATCATAATGTACCAGCTAACATCATAGTGTACTTATTAGCCAACAGCGATGGCAGATTTAAATTCAAATGCAGTGCCGAGTTTTTACCTGATGAGGGCACAACACTGACATTTACATTTTAACAAAGATGCACTTAAGTGCCACATTATTGACTACACGTGTCTACAGCACGATAGTTTATCAGCAAAACTTGATTTGGAGAGGTCTTGCTCTTTAAGGTAAACATTTGAACACTTTATTTTGTTTTAGTACCTAAATGATTAAAGTTAACAGGCTTTAAACTAATTATTTAAATAGTTTAAAGGTTAAAAAAGCATTTCTGACCATTAGAAAAGCTTCTACACCAGTCTGCCTAGACGACACATTTGTGTCCACTGGGTGGCGAGAAATCTCCACTTTGATTTTTCAGCATTCTATGTATCTATTTTCTATCCAACGCAGCAGATTGGTGCTTTTTGAGTCTCCCTATCCCAGGCAATCGCTGATCGGCTGCCATTCCTCGTGACTCAAAGACACAACCCCTCAGCAAACCCAGATATAACAGTTTGCTGCCAGGGAACAGGAGCCTTTAGCTCTGCACTCGGATTGATCCAGTCCACAGGTGAAGACAACTTTACGATGAAGAAACTGGCATTTTTGACCAGTTGTACACTGCAAGAACTACAAAAAGACTTACAACCATCTGATTGAGCAAGCCTTTGGCACCAGGTCAGCATTACCTGTCTTTTCCAGTTGCATTGCAGGCACTGCAGTTTTGCTCCCCCTCCTTCCCTGAGCCGTTACACTTCAGACACGAATTCTGAAGACATAATATAAGCAACAACATCCTTTTAAATGCAGAAAGTACACCAGGGCTGATGGGTTTGTACGTTTAATAGTCCATGACAACAATGAACTTCACACACTCAAAAAACAAGTTGTCAATGTTTCCTTACATGTCCACTTCCAGTGCACTTTTCACAAGCCTTAGTCCCTTTGCTGTGACAGGAGTCGCATTCCTACACACACACACACGCACACACGCACGCACAAAGATTAAAAATAACATTACTCCCTGTCAGCATCTTAACCAGGTCCTGACTGATGGTTTTGAGTAAAAAAAAAAAACAGATAAAACTTGTTTATTATTAACTTCCAGAACATAATGGAGAGATTTTATAATTATGACACAATTTTAACCAAACTACGTGTTCCCTGACTCAGACAGCAGCTATCACCTTAATGGAGGAGGTGTAAGGCACTCTTTTCTCCTCGGTGTGGTTAGTGAAGAGTGCAGGGGCCTGGACCTCGACCTCCCAGGGTCGGGGGGCGGGCTGGGTGTAGAAGTCAGCCGTCTCCCCTGTTAAAAACATAAACAACCAACAAGTCCAGTAATACCATTGGCTTTGTTAAAAGATGAATTAAAAAAGTTCAAATGAAACTTTTTCACTTTTATTTCTTTATGTGATGCGTAATCAAGTGTCGGACGGTTTAACTCAACCACCTTGTCACAATGTTCAGCTCAGAAATCCATCGTAAATTCTGAATTTCACCGATTTTCTCTTCAACTCTTAGGGGAGGTGTTTACCTTCATGAGGTTTTTGAGCCATTTCAGTTGATCTGGACTCTGTGAAAGTCTCCAAACGATACTACCAAACAGAAAACACACTTCAGCCAAGCATTCAGTGTTAATCACATTATAGTATTAACATGTGAGCTCACAGAGAAATCTGACTTGAGAACGCGACGGTTGGTGAATAGACTTTGTAAGAAAAAGGCCAGAGTATTGCATAAAAAGTAAAGAAAAAATGCATCCTAAATAAGATGTTTAAGGTCACATAAACAGCAGATCTTAACAGGAAGAATATCAGTAAATCATGAATCATCATGGCGTGAATTCTAGAAAAAATTAAATGCGAGATATGGTGCTACATGAGTCCTGAGGTGAAAAGTTCATAGCCGTCAAGCCGTTAGCCTCCAACAGGTAATCTCGCTACATAGTTCATGATTTTGACCCAATGTTTTTATAGTTCATGATCTTTTTTTTTACCTTCATCTGAGAATGTTCTAGAACTTTTAAATGTTTTATTCTGACATTTTATGACTTATCCTTTTACGTTGTTTATGTGGTGTTCAGTAGAAAGTTTGAAATGAATAAAATTTGGTTTTGATTGAGTTAACAGAGCAAGAACGCAGGGCCAAGTGAGCGTAGATTCGGAGATGAAGAGGATTTTCTGGTCCATGATGAAACTGGCTAATGTCTCCAAGGAAGCTAAATAATTCCAGTTGCCTTTCATCTGGAACACCAAGGATTTAGCACGGCCTTGATGACTGAGAGCCTTCACCAGAATAGTAGATGCTAGGAGCTGTGCCGGGAGCTGTGTAACATGAACAGACATGTGTCTGACATCACAACCATTTGTTGAGTCTAATCCGTTCTGTTAACATGAAGCCATTCTCACAGCGTGGTTCCCAATGCATACCCAACACCTTCACACGCGATGCTTTAAAGCTTTGCTCTGATGAAAGAGAAAAAGCTATAAAACACGTTTTTACGTGCAGCTATCTTATTTTCTTTTCCACTTCTCTTAAAGTTTCTCTTCTTACCTGCGGTTTAGGCATGAATTCTGACCATGTAGAATCTGATCTCACAAATGACAATAAAATGAATAAAAGTGGTAAGTCGGATCACCCTGAAGGTGTTAAACGGCTCCATGTTTGTGATGACACCCTCCTCAGCTGGACCTGAACCATAGCAACACTTAGAGTTTGCAAAGTCCTTGAACGCTGCTCGAGCGACATCCTCCTGCAGAGCAGGGATGCTGAAAGACAAAAAGAAAGATAAAATAGAACATATCGGAGTGAGCAGCAGACGAGCCTTAAAGATATCAGGCCTTACACCCAGCTGTCAGGTGCAGCTCCAGGTTGGGGTGGAGCAACAGGCTCTGCAGGCATGGGAGGAGGCAGGAAACCTCCTGCAAGAATTGATGCAGATTTTTTTAATCAGCAGCAAAGCGCAGATGTTTAGAAAGAGCTGGACTGTTGTTACCTGCTGCTCCAATTCCCTCGTAACCTGGCATGTTGCCAAACATGTTCGCTGTTGGGGCAGAGAGAGGAGGATACACACCTACAAAAAAAACATACGACACAGTTCTGACACCGATTTAAGACCTCTTATAGTGATAGGTCTCGGGGCTGGACCGGACTTACCTGCTCCGACCCCACCAGGCATGTTACCGAGCATCATGGGTGGGGGGGCGGGTCCTGGGGGATACATGGCTGAAAGGAAAAACAAACTGCTCTGAAACCGGATCAAAGGGAAATGTTCACAAACTGCTGATGCTTAATTGGTTTCATTTTTTACTTTAAGCTGATCAGGAGTCAAAAGGAGAATTTTATTTATTTGTTTTATTATATGTATCAGTACACAGTCTTTATATACCCAGTAAATGTATAAAGTGCCCTTGCATACATACTACATAACCCACCCTCCCCACATCAATTCAAATGTACATATTAAATGTAAAATTTCAATTTCAACTTAATAATTTTAAGATAATAAAAAAAAGTAAAAATAAAGGCAAAAACATAAAAAAAACATAAAAACGATACAAAAATAATTAAATACATGCATACCAGTGCCTCCACACAGATGACTGGTAACGCACTGCACTAAAACTGGGATCCACCAGCATCCGGACAAGTCTGTTCTCAGAACTCTTCAACCGGAGGATAAACTTGTACATGTAATTTCCCATGATAGCCTGGAGGGTCCGGACATGAGCATTACAAATTAAAAGACTTGCACAACAGGACCGATGCTTCCCTAGCAGAGTCCTAAATGCATCATTATACACTACTTTAAGCTCCTTATACTTATGGATCGGATTGTTCCATACGTTCCTAACCGAGCACTTCACTCTCAGACTGCAGGTCTACTGGTGGTTCCCAGAATATCTAAAATTAGGATGGGAGGCAGATCTTTTAGTTATCAGGCTCTCCTCCTGTGGAACCAGCTCCCAGCCTTAGTCCGTGAGGCAGACACTTTGTCTACTTTTAAGACTAGGCTTAAAACATTTTTATTTGATAGGGCCTATGGTTAAAATCTGATGTTAGCCTAAATCTGGACAAGTGGGGGAGTAGAGGGAGGTGGAGTGTCCAGTCAGTAAAGACGGCTCTCCCTTGCCCTGCCTCCAACATGCCTCCATCTAAAAAGGCTAGGTTATCTAGAGTCATCTCTGTAGTTATGCTGCTATAGGCTTAGACTGCTGGAGGACACACTGACCACTTTTCACACTCTACTACTTTCTTCTACAATCTGCTCTTTAACTGTATTATTTTCTGCAATTTCAGCTGTTAACTTTATTTTCTCTCTAAGTGTTTTTCTCCCCAGAAGAAGCTACAATGATGTTCTGCTGAGCTGTGGTGGCCTCATGGAGGGGACCATCGTCTAGCACACTGCTGCTAACCACTTAAACATTCTCCCTCTCCTGATAATGGCTTTTTGCTTTCCTTGACGTTGGATGTGCAACTACTAGTTTATCCGTTTAATTATAGATCAACTAGGACAAATACAATAAAGTTTATTTCTCACCAAATTGAATATTTACCAAGACATCACAATATAACTATAGACACATTACTTGTCTTTGTGTGTGTGTGTGTGTGTGTGTGTGTGCCTGCTCTGTCTTCTCGATCCCCAGTGAGTCGTGGTGGATGGCTGCTTATACTGAGCCAGGATTCTCTGGAGGTTTCTTCCTGTTAAAAGGGAGTTTTCCTCTCCACTGTCGCTTTATGCTTGCTTAGTATGAGGATTGCTGTAAAGTCACTGACACTAGTCAGTGACTTGATGCAATTTGCTGGGTTCCTTATATAGGAAACATTATTTCTGATTGGCTTAATGAACTGACCTGAATTGGAATGTTTATTATGTGAAGTGCCTTGAGACGACTCTTGTCGTGATTTGGCGCTTTATAAATAAACTTGAATTGACTTGAACTTACACCACAAAGGTGCAGTATACAAAGGTGTGCAGTAGGTTCTAAAAAGGTGGATTTTTACATTATCAGAACACTTTCCTGGAATTTCCTGACCAAAATATTGGTCTGGGCAGACAAAGTGCAACATTGATGTCATCCTCATCACATCGCCAATCTGTGAGGAAGTGACCCAAATTTTTAGATTTGTCACAGACTCTTTATCTTCTTGTCAGCCAAGTAGAAGTCTGAGAAACGAAGATCTTTATCCCCTTTGGTACGCCAAATCAGCACAACACTATTTTTACATGAAATCACACTTCAGCGCATAATCAGAGCACGTGTTTAGCAGCTGCTGAAAGCTAGCACTGCTGGGCGACAGGATGGCCATTCAAACGTAATGTTGAACTGTAACAAACACCAATGGAAAAAACAATAACAGGAGAAGTTTTCAGGTAATTCTGGGATCTTTACAACAAGGAAATAATGAATTGTTTTTTGGGTGTATTGAGTTAAGAGTTTGCTGATATCGGTTTAAGCAGCCATAGATGGGTAACGCAGCTTAGAGTCAGAATCCATTAAGAAATTACAGAAATGCACCACCACAGTTTTCTAAGTGTCTGCATCAGGAAGTTAAACGAAGCAGAAGATGCTGCATCCTCATTCATCAGGCTGCTGAGGTTTCTGTCATCTTCACAAAACATTTTTGTTTATTTCAAATATCAAAAAGGATGACTTGACGCTAACGAATGTGCTGAAGCATTTCTGTAAAGTGCTTTTTTTTCTTAAAAATAACATTTCTAAGCTAGGCCACACCCCCATATGTGTTTACACACCCTGGCACTGCCTCAGTGAGAAAAAGACACGATGAATGAAATCCTAAAGGTTAGCGCCTCCGTGCACGCTCCCATTCAGCTCTCACAGGAAGTGTCAGGTGATCTCTGACATTATAGAGACACAAAAAAAGCCTAATTTCACAAGAAACATCACAATAAAGGTCAGTCTTCAGCAAGTGTTGTCACGGTGTGCTTCCAAATTCTTCCTGAATACAAAAAAACATGAATTTCCACTTTGACCTCATCATTTTTGCCTTCTAGTTTTTATGATCCAGACAACTTTCATTGTCACAGAACAGCAGCGAGAGAGCCATGTGAAGATAACCAAAGATCATTTTAACCCAAAGATGTCACGCATCTAGCTTCTGATTATTGGCTAACAGTACATGTTCAGTTGCAAAGTCACCATCACCAAGATGCTCTCCGCATTCGCTGCAATAAAAAAAGCTTTCCTGTGGGAGGGCGTGAGCCAAGCTGGGTGAAGCTGAGAATGCAGTTTCACAGTGTGACGTAGATCTGTGAAGATTTTCAAATCCTCGCATTTCACCGTCTACTTTCTACCAGATGCTAACGCAAGAGATCAGTGTAGGAGACTCTGCAGATTCAGTCTGCATGAAAAACTCAGAATGACCCATTTTAATCAGAAATAATCATTAAAACATTATTTTTCCATCAACCGCAACTTTAATAGAAACATTGAAATCTTAAATAAATTAAATAAAATCTTAAATAATTAAACCCTTTATTAACAAGCTCTTTTGTATTTGAGTAAAACAATAACATTAAATTAGACACGAGCAACTAGCACTGGGCCAAATCATTATTATCCATAAGAATTATAATGTGAGATAGAAATAAAGTAAATAAAATATCACAATGTTTTATTAGGGCAGGTAACATGCTTTAGCGCACATTCGATTGTAGAAGTGATAAAGATGTCGCTGTTTCCTTATTTGAACCATTAAATGATTAAATCTGTGAGCTGCAGCCACAGATTTGTTTGCTACATCATTACAAATATTGCAAATGTCTCGTTTTGATGTTAAATTGCTCACTTCGTCCAGAAACGTGCTCCGACTAATGCATTTAATCTCATTTTAGGGGTGTGAAGTCCAGACTGGAAACTAATTAACTATTAATGAACAATCTGGAGAATCAGTATTAAAGGCTGGAAAAGTTTGGGAATCTTTGCAGAACATGCTCTGACAAAATGTGTTTTAAAATGTTAAAATTGCAGAAAAATAGAGGAAACCCCATTCATAATGTTTGCATACAGCTGAGCATCCCTGAAGGGTTGGGCCCAGCAGATCCAATCATGCTGCTGATTAAAAAGACTGACTTTATTGATCAGTTCCCAACATCAGGCCTTTAGTTCCTGCTGAGTGAATCACTCTCAGGTAAGACATTAATACTGGCCAAAAGCTGTTTGATTAATTAATCGTTTTTAATAGTTCTCTACAAATAAACGAATAAAAAACTCTTACCTTCATTAAACGAGTCACTCTAACATAAGGTCACCGTGTAAAACAACAAATCATCACTAATGAGACAAACCCTAAAACACATGTTCAAGTTCATGTTTATGACACGCTTTGAATGACGTCATCGTCGCAGCTGTCTGTTTTTGCCCATTTTACGGTCTAAATTAAAGCATTTATTAATCCAGCTCAAACTGGATGGAAAGTGTTTTAACTTTAATCTGTCTTGAAAAAAATACATTTTAACACTTAAAAGGAATAAATTGCCTGGGGCACGTTCTGTTCCGTCTGTGGTTTGGTGGACTTAATTATTCTTCAAAAATCTGGATTAAAACGAGTCTCGTCATCGTCAAAGATTTCTTACCTGCGCTGTTCATCTTGTTGCCACTCAAAAACAAGGGATTTTTTCCAGTTTTGAGAAAACTATAATCTCCCGTGGACGCCGCTAGACGTCCTGTCCAACATCACCAATCAAACTATCTATTATCACCAAACTATCTATTTCCGGAATAAAAACTACAAAATAAAATCCCTCCTTCATAATGATAATGTAAAATTCAAAATCAAGGCTAAATAGCTGAACTGCAAGTCAAAGTTTATATTAGCCAAGTTAATTGTGTGTTTTTCATTTTAATTCAAACAGAAGCTATTCTCAATTATTAAAAGAAACTTGTTTCAAAATTTGATTAATGATAATTTCAGTATTGCAGTATTTGAAATAAGATTATTCAAGCAAAATGAACTCAATTTTTGAATAAACAAATTATGAGACTCTGGTGTTCTGTATGGAAGAATAAACAAACCACAAAATTTATTGTTCACAGATAACAGACAAATACACACATTATGATGGTCAAGTTTGAAAACTGGGTTTTACTTACTGTTTGCTTTTGAGCTTTGGAAATTTTCTTCCAAAAGGTGTGTCAACACGTGACCTTACTTGCTTTTATTTTGAAAAAACACGGAAGAAAACCATCACTCCCATCAGGAACTTTACTCTAAAATTTAGTAACATGATCTCTTGGAATGTCGGCCACGCCTGGGCTTTATAAAACACACACAAGAAGAAGAAGAAAATATCATTTCTATAGCGCCTCTCAAGATAAAAATCACGAGGCGCTTAAAACACACACACACACACACACACACACACACACACACACACACACACACACACACATTAACCCTCTGTCAGTATCCAAAATGGGCCATAGAAAAAGGAAAACAACAAGTCAAAAAAAATCAAAGAAACAGAGAGACCAAAAAAGTAAACAAAAACAAAGACCAGACCACACGCACACAGACACCACCACAATGCCATATATCCGGGGAGTCACAGAACTTATGCAAAGGGCCATGACAAAACATCAAATCAACACGACCGTCAAACCTCACATGAAACTCAGACAGCTACTAGTACACCTCAAGGACAAACCAGACAAGAAATGCAATGTAATCTACAAAATACCATGCATGTCGTGCAATAAAACATATATACGTAGGGGAAACCAGCAGAACATATGACACAAGAAGAAAAGAGCATTCGAAGGAATGTGAGAAGGAAACAACAGAAAGACTCACAAGAACAACAAAGCAAAAAAGCAGAGGAGCAAACCCTCTGTCAGCCATCTCAGACCATTGCAAACGAAATAATCCCATCATGGACTGGGATCAAGGGAAAATTATCAACACGGAGAACAACCGGTTCCAGTACAAATCAGAGACCTGTCATCTACAGAAATACTCAGATGACTCTGCAGTTGTCGGGTGTATCAGAGATGGACAGGAAGCTGAGTACAGAGAGCTGGTGCAGCACTTTGTGGCATGGTGTGGAAACAATCATCTGACCTTGAACGTGAACAAAACAAAGGAGATGATTTCAGACTTCAGAAGAAACAGGGTGGAGTCAAACACTGTTTCCATCATGGGAGAAGAAGTGGAGGTAGTTGAGGAATACAAATACCTTGGAGTTCACCTGGACAACAGACTGGACTGGAGAATGAACAGCGAAGCCGTTTACAAGAAGCGACACAGCAGACTGTACTTCTTGAGGATGCTTAGGTCCTTCAATGTCTGTAGCAAGATGCTGCAGATCTTCTACAAGTCTGTTGTTGAGAGTGTAATCTCTTCTGCCATCGTCTATTGGGGTAGTAGCATCAGAAGCAGGGACCTGAAAAGGCTCAACAGCCTAATAAAAAAGGCTGGTTCTGTTCTGGGGACGACTGTGGAACCACTGGAGGAGATAATGCAAAGAAGGATTCTCCAGAGAATCAAGAAAATTATGGACAACCCTGAGCATTCTCTTCACAAGACTGTCCGGCAACGGAAGAGTGTCTTCAGTCAGAGGCTTCTTCAGTTTCGCTGCAACACTGACCGCTACTGGAGATCCTTCCTGCCAACAGCCATTGTAATATACAATAACTCTTTGATGACTTGATTATTATTATTCTGAGCTACTGCAGCTATCAATTTCCCTCTGGGATTAATAAAGTATTTTTGAATTGAATTGAATTTAACTGAATGCTTCTGTGATGGCCTGGATGAAGAGGAGATGAATGATTGCAGGGAACCGTTCCTGTTCATGTTTAGTTTTCAATCAGACTATGAGGAGTTCTGCAAAGAAATTGTGGACAAAAGGAAGATGAAGGTGTTTTCTGGCTTTGAAATGCTATAGTACAGCGGTGTCAAACTCAGTTGTTGCATTCTGTTTCCTCATTACATTGTTTTTTTGGAGGTTCTCTTGTTTTTTGTGTGCATTTTGGTTCATTTGTTTGTACTTTTTTTATTCCTGTGTTGGCTGTTGTTTGCTCTATTAAATTTACCTTTTTGAAAAATTTTGTCTGCATTCTTGGGTGTCTCACACAATGTCTCACAACCCCTCCTCAAACCCTGGCGTGTTTTAAGAAGTATCAGCACAATTTAAGTCTCTGGTCCTCTTAATGTAGCTGATATAACTGAGTGTACAACAAATTTACCCGCGTCTGTCTATACAGTTTTACACTCACTTGGAAAATGACTATTAAAATAAAGGCAGCATTGATAAAATAAACTATTAAAATGGTTTTGACAGGTTCAAAGAATAGTCTATTAAATGCTTGAACCTTTTATATAGGTACCAAAAGTATAGCTAAAAGACACAAATACCTATGTGCTATAAATACACATACCATACACAAAAGTAGGAAAAAGAATAAAAATATCAGAACACATTGGATCAAAAATGGCGCCTGTTTCATTTAACTTAATTATCTGCTCTTTCTTTAAAATTATCATGGCATCCAGCAAACAAGTAATTTGATTACCAATGTTATGCTTTACATGGGTTTTGTGGGTTTTTAGGGCTTTTTAATCCTTAACTCAGGGGCTACTCGCGGTTTCCTGGTTCCATTGAAGAGGAGTCAAATAGTTGTCTCCGCCCACCTATAAACGTTTGATCCCGCCCACTTTTAGCCCCGCCCCGATCTCCGGGAGGCAGCCAGGGGCTACGGGCTAGAGCCCTGCACAGGCCTCAAATCTGAGCCCGTGTCTGGCCCGGCCCGAGGGGGTGGAGCCCCAGCCCGACCCGGCCCGAAAAGGTTTTCAGGATTCTCTGGCCCAACCCGAGCCCGACTTTTTTTTAACCAACTAAACGAAAACAAAGTGCGTCAATCCTGACCAATGTGTCAAAAGACGTGCAGGATCCGATCAATTTGTTTTTCCCTCATTTACCGTCACGGAGATGATGGCGCACTGGCTCTGGTGGTAATCAAGTTAAATTTATCTCTTTCCAACAATTTTCACAAGAAAACAGAACAGTTTAAAGCAGGGCTTGTGTTGACCGGACAGTTTCCGTATTTGACCGTTTATTTTGACAGAGAAATAATAGAAAGAATTACCCCGACGCATGCAGACGAACTGACATTTTATTCTACGCACATCGCAGATGCAGCTAAATCACCCAAGAAAAGATTCCCATCTGAACATCTGAGCTGGACACTGCTCAGCGCAGATGGGTTATGCTCAGCGCAGCTGGGTTATGCGCACAGCAGATCTGTTCCGTAACATAAGGAGCCATATGATTGGCTGAAAGCAAACAGCCCTGGCAGAATCATATATTTGATTGACAGATTCATTAGCCAATGGTGACGTTTGTTGATCTGCGATGTTAGGAGAGTCTCAAAATTCAGCGCACAGATTTCACTCACAAATGCAGAAAGGTTCACAAATGAGAAGCTGTTCGTAAATGCACGTTCAGCAATTCGTATGATCTGTGAGTTTATATTACAAGTGTTCTTACAAATAATATTTGTGAACCACAGAGTATGAACTTCAGAATTAGCATGTGCATTTGTGGAAAATGTTGCGTGACTTATTTTTTCACATTATATTTATGAGTCAAAGAGTGTGAATTTCCCAATGAGCGTGTGCATTTGTGTTCCCCCGAATTATATTTGTGAAACACAGAGTGTGGATTTCCGAATGAACGTGTGCATTTGTGGAAAACGTTGTGAGACTTAATTCTTATGTCACTGCTTCCGCTCCAGTCGGGGTTCTTCACCCCCCCCCCCCCTCTCTCTCTCTCCTCTTCCTGAGGAGGATCCACTCCCTCTTTCCTTTTCACTCTCTCTCTCTTTCTTTACATTTTTAATCACAATTGTCTATTTTTTGCTCATTTTAATTTAATCATTTTCTAAATTCTTTTTTCTATTTTACATGTTTTGTTTTTGTGAAGCGCCCTGTGATTTTTATCTTGAGAGACGCTATAGAAAAGATCTTTTCTTCTCTCTCTCTCTTAATTCATGCACTTAAATATTAATGTTCTGATTTTATTGAAAAACTTGTTCTGTAATAGTTCCTTTACTATTGTGATCAAAAACATTTAATCTCAACTCTGAGGCTGCTCTGTAAATAGTTTTCAAATAAACAATACACATAGCAACTTTTGATCAAACTTAAAATAACGTTTTTTATGTAAACCACACCCACTTCCGGTTAAATTACACCCACTTCTGGGTTAGGCCACGCCCACTCTGAGTACAGATACAGATAATTTAGATGGTTGAACAGATACAGATACAGATAGTGGTGTACTCGCTCATCCCTAATAGCCCCCCAAGGTGCTTCACATAACTATCTTTCGTTCATCCATTCACACGCTGGTGGTGATGATTAGCCACAGCTGGCCTGGGGCGCGCTGGCAGGCACCACCACCACCACCACTAGTAGGCAAGGTGGGTTTAGTGTCTTGCCCAAAGACATAACAGCAGTCTCTGGAGGGAACCGGTATTGAACCTGCAACCTTCTGATTACTGGACAACCCGCTCTACCTCCTGCTGCCGTCCACAAACCCTTCAGATTATTTTGGGTTCAAATCCCAGTAAACCAGCAGGTTCTGAAATACTCAACCAGTACTAAGTTACTGAAGTGTCACGTTTTTCTCCATCTGATGTTCAGTTTGGAGTCCAGTAAAGCACCTACCTAGACGACTAAGGGCATTGACTCGCTGCCCTGTGATTGGCTGAGCAGACATGCTCACCTGATCAGTATATTTAGACCTTTAACTAAAACTCTTGTTTTGTGTCTGTGTCTCTAAGCCAAGCAGTGGTGGTTGATCGGAGCGTGTATGTATCAGGACAGCTGGGGATGGATCCGGTTAGCTGCCAGCTGGTGGGAGGCGGTGTTCAGGCCCAAACCAGACAGGTGTCATCGTCCATCTGCTGATTTCACACCCGCACACCTGAGATGTGGCTATAGTTACTTTAGTATTCTGGAAAGTAGCTTTTTTAGCATGACTTTACTTTAATAATCAGTGTTAACCAGCAGCTGTGTGGGAAAACATTCTTTACAGTAAACCAATGAATGATGAGTGAATGAATGATCTAAAACAACACAACAGCTGCTCTGCACAGATGTAAAACTATCCAAACATTCAGCCGTATTAACAAAATAATCCGCTAAGTACGTAGCAGCTGCTCTGACTGTGCTTTGGCTTTAAAGTGTCACCAGGATCATGTTAGCTCTTCATGGGACAACGTTCAGGTCCATGTGTTGCAACAGTCTGTTGTGTTTTATTCCTAGGCTCTCGTGAACATGGGGGAGATCCTCCGAATGGCTGGATGCAGTTATAAGAACGGTGAGGCGATCCTCTGTGTAGAAGCCATTGTTCTGCAGATGTTCTTCATGCAGTTTACTTTTATTTCTGGCAGTTGTTAAAACCACCGTGCTTCTCGCTGACATCAATGATTTCTCAAATGTCAATGAAGTTTACAAGCAGTGTGAGTATGTTGGCTTCCCCTCTATAGATAAGAGCTGTTGTACAACCCTGACCGCTGGGTGTCAGCACAAACTAGCTATACCACAAGTCCCATTTATTTAGCATAAGGAGCCTTTAGATCTGCCCGCTTTGCCCATCTTTCCTTAGTTTACTCCATATATGTTTTTATATTCCCTACTTCTAAATAAAGTGATGTTCTGTCTGGAAGAGTTTTTATGGCTCCATGCTGATGTGAGGAGAGATCACCACGTGTTGCATAAGCCAGTTAAACACCGAAACCAGAGATGATTCAATGTTACTGTAGGGTTAATGACCTAAACATAGGAATTAAAGGCTGTTGCTATCAGCTTATATTTTAATTCCTAAGATCAAACAAATTGACAAATGAGATTATATATGGATATATAAATATAATAGATATAAATTCATACACCAACTTGCTTGGTCTATGTTTAATCAAAAGATTATAATATTTATTTTTAAAGATTTAATTTAATAGCAAAGATTATTTGTTAATTCAGAAGATCTAAAGATCTTTGCCTGTTCAGTGATCAATGTACACCCACTCTGTGTTTATTTCAAGAAAGAGTCAAGTTTAAGAAGGTTAAGAAATTTATTACTAAACAATTATAAAACATGACAATTTATAAAAGACTTTGATATTAATAATACTTTGGTATTAAAAAAGCAACCCTGTGTTTGGATGAATCTAATATGAAGTGTTTGTTTGCGGGTGAATGCAATGTCTCAGAACGTGTCTGGCGCAGGTGTGTTCTCTGGAGGGCCCTCGGTCAATGCTGTAGCGTAATGGTTTATTGCTCGTTACAACTCGCAGGTGCAGTCAGAGATCAGGGTCAGCCAGTGTGGTCACAGGGTGGCATTCAACCATCCCCCTGTGGTAGGCGAGTCACCAACGTCAGGTCTAGAGGTCACTAGCACCAGCTGTAGGAGTAGGGTCAGTGATGTTGTCAGCCCCCCCCCCCCCCCCCCCCCCCCTTTGGCAGGTGGCATCCCCACCGCAAGGTACTGGGCTTCAGCTGGAGTCTCGGCGCCACCATCAACTCCCCCTTCGGCAGGTGGTGTTCCCACTCCAGTGTGCGGAGTCTCAGGTGCAGTGCCACTGCAAACTCCCCTAGGTTAATGTTGGTTTATGCTTGACGCATCCGCGAGGTTGCATCATTTTAACAACCACGCCCCTCCACAGCGCCTCCGCACGGCCCAAAATTTCCGCACCGCGCACCTAGGAAATTTTCTAACCACGCGGACGGTCGGACGCGGAAAAACATGGCGGACTGGCAAGAACTAGTATGGCAGAGGTTCGTAAATACAGACATTTGTATGATTCAGCTCTCAAAGATCACCGCGATCAACACGTTGTTAATAATTCTTGGAGAGAAATAGCTCGCACTGTCGGAAAAGATGAGGGCGCTGTTAAAACATGCTGGAATGACATGTTGTAAACAACAGTAATTTTTACTTCTACTATGGTGTAGTGTTGGATGCATGCCGTAGAGCTCTATGCTGCCCCCTACAGTTTGGGAGAATATTAGCTCACCGCAGAGACAAGCTGCATGAACCTATAAACGCTGCAAGTTGTGAAGCGCGTTCCATCCGCGAGCCGCATCACCAAGCGGAAAGTGAATGCGTCAAGCATAAACCAAGCTTTAGGTGGTTTTCCCACCCCCGAGTGAAGCAATCTTGCTGCAGAGATGACACAGACTCTGTGGGTGTCACTGACCTTGGAGGCTGTGGATCGACTGGTCACTCTAACAGCGCCGTTGTAGTTAACAACACCTAGAGAGGGAATGACACGAACACGAAAGAGAGCCCATAGCTCAGGAACGGAGTCAAGCTTGACAGGAGAAGGCAGATGAGCTGTCGGATCAGAAAGGTACAGGATCATCCTGCTAATATCAGAGTCCTGGGACTGAAGACTGACAAGGTTGTTTTCAGAAAAGACAGGAAGAACAGACTCAAAACCATCCGACGGTCGAGAGGTGGACGCGTTAACGGCCTGAGCTCAAGTCACGACACACACACGGGGTGGGTTTGCCCGAGAAGACACACTGTCAGGGAGCCACAAGGGGTTAAAGGACCATGGGGTACCAACAGCTGCACCTTGTTTGGCAAGAGAGTCTGCAATCAGATCCTTATCAGTTCCGGGTACACGAGAAAGACCTTTAACTTCACGCCAATAAATCTGCATGTCATGTGATGTCGCTAGGGTTATCACAAGCCATGAAGAGGTCTTGATGTTTAACGGGCTTCCGGTTAGAGGTTAAGAACCCGTTAATTTTCCAAGAAGGTAAGGGAGGTGGTGGAGGACCTAAACTTGGAGATGGCCACAGAAAAGGAACGCTCAGAAAGATAGGAGAACCACTCCAGAGCAGTTCCTGATAGAACTGCCCAGTCTCTCAGCCTCTCCAGTAGCAGATGATGGTCAGCAGTGTCAAAAGCTGCAGTCAGGTCCAGCAGGACCAGAACAGAACAGTCCCCTGCATCACTGAGTCAGAAGGTCAGTAGAGACCCTAAGAAGAGCTGTTTCAGTAGAATGAGCTCTACAAAAACCTGACTGGAAGCAATCATAGATGTTATGTTCATCAAGAGCAGCTGTGAATTGTTTAGCCACAACCTTTTCTAAGATCTTGGAGATGAACAGAAGTTTAGAGATGGGTCTGAAGCTGCTATGGAGAGAGGGGTCGAGACTCGTTTTTTTAAGAAGCGGGTGGATTACAGCGTTCTTAAAGTAAGCAGGAACCTGACCAGAAACCAGAGAAGCATTAATAATGGAGAGCACGCTGGGACTGATGGACTGAAAAGCATTTTTAAACAAAGATGAGGGTAAGATGTCAAGGGGGAATGCAGAGGTCTTCATAGAGTTAACTAGTTTGGTTAACTCTGGCAAAGAAACAGGAGCAACGCTATCTAGGATGATGGGACTGGTTGGAGTCGGGAGAGGCAGCGATAAGGCTGAAGGAGAGATGCTAGATCTAACCTTATTGACTTTGTCCACAAAGAAAGACAGAAAGTTCTCACAGTTTGCAACAGAGTGGATGGAGGCTGTAGGAGAGGCAGGAGAGACGATGCTGCTGATGGTGTTAAACAGCACCTTGGGGTTCCCTTTGCTCTGGGACATCAGGTTGGAAAAATAGGAAACCCTTGTGCCTCTGACTGCAGAGTTAAAGGATGACAGAAGATCCTTTAGGTGCAGCAGATGGACGTGGAGACGGGTTTTCTTCCACAAACGCTCAGTTTTTCTGCATTGGCGCTTCAGGCTGTCATGAAACCAGGGAGTAGGGCTCACTGCAGGAACTGATCTGGTTCTGACAAGACAGATATTGTCCAGAATGGAGAGGCAGTGATCGTTAGACTGAGAAGGTAAGGAATCTGGGTCGTTATCAGAAGAACAGGGTGGATCAAAAGCAGCAGAAAAATTTCTAGCTGTGCTTTCATTAAGAAAACGAGAACTAACCATACGGCGAGCAGGAGGTGGGGACGCAGAAACTGACAAGTTAAAGAAAATGCAGTGGTGATCAGAAGTAAAAACAAGGTCCAGAGTGTGCCCCCTGGTGTGTGTGGGGCCAGAAACATGATGGGTAAAGCTGAAGGAGTCCATAATACTGGAGAAATTCATGGCAAAGTGATGGGAGGGATCATCAACGTGGATGTTAAAGTCACCAACAATCACCAGCCTGGACAGCTTCACAGTGGATGATAGAAAGTTACTAAACTCCTGAAGGAAAGAACTGTTTGGACCAGGTGGACGATAGACCACAGCACAGTAGAACGGGTCCTTACGCCCGACTTTAATCAGCTGCAGTTCAAAGGAAGCAAAGTGACCAGAGGTTGTAGAACTACGTGGAAGATGGTCTCTGAAAACAACAGCTAGGCCTCCACCACGACCAGAACCCCGGGGCTGGCTAAGAAAAGAATAACCACTCGGGCAGAGTTCAATCAGACCAGAATATCGTGGGAGATCGTGAACAAACGGAAGGACAAAAGAGTCTGGCGATCATAGGAGATGGTAGCAGGGACACTACTGAAGCGTATCGCAGACAGGAGCAAGGTGGAAAAGAGGAGGTTAGTGACACCCACAGAGTCTGTGTCGTCTCTGCAGCAGGATTATTTCACCCAGGGGTGGGAAACCCACCTGCCCTAGGGGAGGGAGGTTGACAGTTGCAGTGGCACTGCACCTGAAGCCTGATTCATGCTTCTCCGTCTGCATCAGTGCGGAGACACGCAACGTCCTTGCGGGCCTGCCGGAGAGCTCCGCAAGGACGGACGGAGTCGAGCTCTCTTTTCTAAACATCCGTCAGTCGAGACGGACAACGCAAGCTTGTGATTGGTCAGGATGCCGCAGTTGTCTACACCGCTGCCATTGCACCCTCAAAAGCATAAACAGAGCCGAGGATAACTTGCGGCAGACACGGAAAAGCTTGAAGAATACATTGCGACTTAACTCTAAAACATGAACGTTTAATTCCCCCGTGACTGGAGGAGTGAAAAGATGCGCAGCAAGCGTATTATTTGTGGACGGAAATGACAGGAAACGTGGGTTTAGAGGTGGTGAGCGCATGAAGAGGTGGAGGAGGATGAGAGACAAATTTGTCTGTGTTAAAAAGTCTCTTATATACAAAAAAACACAATATAAACGCACTATCTTGGACCGGATACATGACAGGATACCACAGAACAGCGCTACGCCCTCTGTTGTCCTGCCGGGCAATTGCTTTGCAACACTCCCCAGGAGACGGAGAAGTATGAGGGCAAAACGCTTCCATCAATCCGTGCGCATCTGTCCCTTGCGGAGCTGACGGAGAAGCATGAATCAGGCTTGAGACTCCGCACCCTGGAGTGGGAACACCACCTGCCGAAGGGGAAGTTGATGGTGGCGCTGAGACTCCAGCCGAAGCCCAGTACCTTGCGGCGGGGACGCCACCCGCCGAAAGGGGGAGCCGACAACATCACCTACCCCACTCCACTACAGCCGGCGCCCGTGACCCCCAGCCGAGCCGGCGAGTCACCCACCGACGGGGTGGCCGAACGTCCCCCGCACCACCACCGGCCTACCCCGATCTCTATGACTGCACCTGCGCGTCGACTGAGGGCCCTCTGGAGCGCACATGTCGCCCTGAATCAGTTCTTCCTCTAAAAAAGCAGATGTGTCACTGTCTATTTCCTCTAATTCTTCATCAGTAGGAGACATTTCCTCCTTTTCTTCTAAAGAAAGTGATATTTCATCATTCTCCCCAAAGTTCTCCTCCATAATTGTGGAAAGACCAGCCTGATTCTCCCAAATATCCCTCTCTGTAGTCAGAGACAGGCCAGCGTCCTCCCCCCATTGAGTCAAACACATCCAAATCTGACGTAGTTACTTCATCTGATGAAAAACCAGAAAGATGCTCCACCTGAGACTAAATCTGTAAGGCTTGTTACCAGCATTCAGACATCAATTCTGTTTGCTTCACAGCCAGACAGGACATGGTAAATAAAATAAAATAAAAAGAAAGAAAAGAAAAAGAAAGATTTTTCAGTCAGTGGTTCTGCGTCTTCATGGGCCACAGAGAGACTTGTTTGGGATCCAGAATCCTCTTCATGGAAAACCGATTGTTCGACGTCTCTGAGTAGACTAGTTTCTATCTCCAGGCCAATCTTCCGCTGAAACCGGAGATGTTTTTGCTTCTCCTTCCATAAAGCCTCTAATTCTTTCAGCTCACTGGGAGCTTTAGAGCCAGAGTCTCTTAAGTGAAACACATCCAAATCTGACGTAGTTACTTCATCTGACGTAAAATCAGAAAGATGCTCCACCTGAGAGTAAATCTGTAAGGCTTGTTACCAGCATTCAGACATCAATTCTGTTTGCTTCACAGCCAGACAGGACACGGTAAAAAGAAAAAAGAAAAAAAGAAAAAGAAATATTTTTCAGTCAGTGGTTCTGCATCTTCATGGGCCACAGAGAGACTTGTTTGGGATCCAGAATCCTCTTCATAGAAAACCGATTGTTTGACATCTCTGAGTAGACTAGTTGCTATCTCCAGGCCAAAACCATCGCTGTTTTCATATTCTGGTTTTTGCAAAGTGGATAAACTGTCTTCTGTTTCTCCGTAAGAATGTTCAACATCAGTTCTGTCAGCTTTCAGAGAGAGACGATTCGTCCCTTCATCGTCTGTAACCGATGGGTCGATGTCTCTGTAAAGAAGAAGAAAGTATCATTTCTATAGTGCCTCTCAAGATAAAAATCATGAGGCGCTTCTCAAAAGCACAAAATGTAAAAATATAAAAAAGCATTTAGAAAATGTTTAAAATACATATTAAAAATGAGCAAAAATTGGCAATTGTGATTTAAAAATGTCAAGAAAGAGTGAACAGGAAAGAGGTAAATCAGCAGTGTTGGGCAAGTTACTTCAAAACTGTAATGCATTATTTATTACTTGTTACCCTCATTGTAATGTAATTGATTACATTACAATATTACTGATTTTAAAATGTAAGGCATTACACTACTTTGGCATTACTTTAAGTTACTTTCACCAAAACAACTTCAATATGAATCTGGTAATGTGACGCTCAGTGCTTTAAAATGATTGTTTATTAAATAAAAGCAACAACAATCTGTACTCTCAGCACGCTGCCATCTTAGATTAACTGAGCAGGGAGTGAGGTGGTGGGGGCTCCAAGCCTATTTTGCTTTGGTCCCCAAATGCCTTGATACGGCCCTGGATGTGGGACTGACTTCTGGGGTGATCTGATTCTATCACATGTATAAATATGAAATGCTTATATATTTTTGCTTTTCACTGGTAAAAATGTGTATTGGGGCTACATCTACCTTCTTTTTTTCTTTTCAAGCTCTTTGTTTTGTTTTCTTGACTTTATTTGAATAATTTCCGGCCCTTTCTCTCTCTAACCTTCCTGCATGCTGCATGTTTTCACCGTCTTCCAGAAAAAGTTTCCTAGATTTCTAATCAGCCAAAGGGATCTACCGAACACAAAACAAAAAGCTTAATATGCGCTGCGCTCCCGCAGCAATGAGTCGAAATCACTGAGCGAGGGCACAGATTATGAACTCAGCTGAAGCAAAGCACGTCAGAAATGTACAGAAAGTACAGAGAATATGAACGATCGCAAGTGAATGACTTTGTTTTGGTGGAGCGATTTTGTGAATATAACAGCGGCCGCGCGCAGGACACAGCTGGAGTATTTGAGCCATTACCGCTGCGTCCTCTCTGCTCATAGAATGCCCACAAAGCTGAGTCCATAAATGACGTAATATATGTAGATACCGGATCTTTATTTGGGCTTTCCGCAATTTTAATTTTTAAGAAACCCACATCTTGATTCTGGGTTTAAAAATGCATTGTAATTACTGCGTTACTGACAATTGTACTAAGTAAATATTACCATTTTCTTTCCCTGTAATGCCTTACATTACCACATTACAGCAAAAAGCAATGCATTACAGTAATTAATTACTTTTGTACCGCGTTACTCCCAACACTGGAAATCAGTGGATCAAGATAAAGACGTGTTGATTTTCCGGGTCCAAGGCTATTAAAATCAGACTCCGGTTGTTCTAAAGAGGATAAATCCTCTTTTTCTGCATCTCCATAAAAGTATTTATAAGCGTTTCTAACCGCTTTAATAATCAAAGCACCTGCTACCAACCCAGTAACGGCAAACATGGCCGTATTTCTTTGAGTTTTTGATTGTTTTATGCTCTGACATGTACTGTCAAGGATCGTCATGTCCAATCTGTCACACCCTGTCCTGTCTCCCCTTATGGTTTAGTCATGTGTCTCTGTTAATTGCTCCCACCTGCCTCTCATTTTCCAATCACTGTGTTTCGTATTAAAGCCTTTAAACCATTCCTGCTTGTCTGCCTGCCTGCCTTTGCACCCGCGTGTGGATCCTGCCTCAGCTTCACTCACCGGCACGCGTCTGACAGAAACAATGATCCAACACGAGACAAAGAACTGAAGGGGTTTAAATACAAGAGGTTGGGAACTTGGGTGACTGGAAAATGAGAGGCAGGTGGGAGCAATTAACAGAGACACATGACTAAACCATAAGGGGAGACAGGACAGGGTGTGACACAACCAACTGAATTTACCACAGGATGACTCCCGTTGAAGGAACACTTGGCAGTTTAGGCTTGTTTTAGCACCCCCTAGTGTCCGTTAGTGAAACCAAACGTAAAACTTATCTCCTCGCTGTGCGTTCGTATTTTTATTTTAACACCTTAATCTAACAGCTGAATTGTATTTTCATTAGTGTCTACAGGAGTGATTCATCACTAAATAAAACAAATCAGCTGTGTTCATGATCTACACCATGCAAGAAGCTGGAAGCAGACTGCAGCGCCAGGTATGTCAGCTCCTTTTTCTAAGTCCAGCAGGGAGTGGCCCAACACTCTAAAGTTGCAAGTGCTGTATTTTGGCCACAGAGGGCAATGGGAGTCTGAGTGGCATTTCATTAAACCTGTAAAGGGTCATTTTAGCACATACTGGGTCAAGAAAATGATTTAAAAATATGAAAAATTGGCAAAGTATGGCTTTAAACTTCAGAAACATCTGAAGGAGGATCAGTGGAAACAGGATGCAACAAGACAACATTTAGAGCTTGATGGCAAAGGCTGTGAATATTAATGTACACGATATTTCTCAGTGATCTTTATTTTAATAAATAAAAATATATTCAAATCATCATTATGGGTGTTGTGTGTGGAATTTAGACTATTTTGGTATAAGGCTGTAATATAACAAAATGAGAGAAAAGTGATGTTCTCTGAATATTTTCTGAATGTACTGTATTTTGGAGAAATTATCATGCTTTTAAAAGGGATATTCCACCCCTAAGTGAAGTTTGGTCTACTTTCATTTTCCCCACAGTTAGAAAAGTGAGAAAAAGCATTTAGTAACCAGCACAGAAATTCTCCTGATATGGCAGCAGTAGGTCTGCTTTTTAGCTTAGCATCAACAGTGAATGACAGATACTAGCATTTTGTGTGCAAAAGTGATTAAAAATAGTCAATGCAAATTGTTCTTGGTGAGCTCAATAATCGTGTCGACGGAAAATATAAAGTAAAAAGTAACACGAAGGATTTGCAGGAGCCGATATAGACTTGGAACTACATTACGACAAAGCACCACTGTAACCTGCCGCTGCATGGCGTATGGATACAACACAGCGGTCCAAAAAACCTCCGGCTTCTGTAAACAAACATCTGTGGGAATAACGTGAAATACGCTGCAGCTGTATGTCTTTGGCTCGTTTTCACATCCCTTTGCTACATAAGTAAGGCTTTTTCTTGTATTACACCTGTATAATAAACTACAAAAAGAAATACTGTACAAATCACACGTAATTTTTGACCGCTGTGTTATATCCATGCGCCATTCAACAGTGGTTACAGTGGTGCTTTGTCGAAAAGTAGTCCCAAGTCTAATTTGGCTCCTGCAAGTCCTTTGTGTTATTGCCTAGTTTTTATTTGCAGTCAACATGATTATTGAGGTCACCAAGAATAATTGGTATCATTATTGAGTAATTTTAATCTCATTTGCACACAAAATGCTAACTTTTGCTATTCACTTCCATTGTTTATGCTAAGCTAAAACAAATGGACTGCTTCCAGATCAGGAGAATTACTGCGTTGGTTACTAACTACTTTTTTCTTACTTATTCAACTGTGGGGAATATGGAAATAGACCAAATTTCACTTAGGGGTGGAACATCCCTTTAAATATATTGAAACCCCATCAACAAATTTGCCAACTTTTGATTATGACCAGATTGATAGTTTTGAAATCTTGGCATTGCTGTTTTTTTCTACAGCGCCGTGTTTTCAAAATAAATAATTTCACAGGATCATTTTACCGTTGCACAAACTCCAAAGTCTTTGCTGCCTCATCTTGATATTGCAGGTTGAAGATGTAAAATGTGGCAAACACCGCTGCAAGCCCTGTTGAAAATGTTGGCAGGACCCCCTCAAAGATGACATGGCCTTCAGCACTGACCATCCATCCACTCAGTTTTTGCTCATTGCCACCTGTGGTGGACAAAGATGAACGTTTTTGTTACATTTTCTCTCAAATTTTTATCCACACAATATTTTAAAACATCAGAACTTCATTTAAGGTCAGCAAGACAATTCTATTCTAGTAAAGGCTTTTTAACAATGTTAGGCAAGTACCTTTGGATCCCCTTTTTTACAAGTGTTTATATTCTTTTTACATACCGTAAGTCCTCTAATACAAGCCGGTATTCAATTAAAGGCCGGGTCTCCAATTTTGGCCGGTGCCGGAGTCAGCGGAGGTAAATAATGGCCGGTCTCTTATTGTGGCCGGATGGAATGTGGTAACAAGCAAGTACGAGCGTGCTAGCGGCAAGGTTGTAGTTCACAAATCAACCAGCAGGAGGCAGTAGGGGTTCACATAGACCTTTATTAGGCTTTTTCTTCAACGCTTTGTAACGCTACAGACACGATCCTCTATCACGCTCCTACCACACAGAGTCACGGTGTCAGTTAAGCATGCTAATTCAACCCACTCCATAGAACACACATCACCTTCCCTGTGGCTTACATAACACTCACACAACACGCAAATCAGCACATAGGAACTAGTAGAACGATAGGAAACACATATAACACAATACCCAGAATGCACCTGGCTTACAACCCCAGCCAGGTCATTACACTATCAAGTTCAAAGAGAACGTGCTGATTATGCTGCAGAACACTCTGGAGAGCAGCAGTAGGGGGTGTATGAACTACAGTAATCCCTCGTTTATCGCGGTAGATGCGTTCCAGACCTGGCCGCGATAGGTGAAAATCCGCGAAGTAGGGACTCCCAGCATGCCCCTCGCAAGGATTCCCTCCACGTCGCACCTACGTCACAAACCACGGCTATAAACGGAAGTCGCCTTTCCAGCTCACCACTCAGTCATCGTTTCTTCAGATTCATGATCAGAGTTTCCAACCTACCAATCAATCCAACGAACTATCAGCTCATAGTAAGTTATCTTACTTACTTCTGGAAAGCCCGGCATTTCCGTGTCACTTCGTTGACGCTCGAACGCTCGGGGGTTTCCTAGAGCAGCCGGCGTTTCACCGACGCTATCACTTCCGCGTCTGTGCTCCCTATTGAATTATCGTATGATCACATTCTCTGTGATCAGCAATGCGCTGTGCCAGACCGTAGGTACTGACACGCGATCGTTCATGTCGGTTCATTTCCTTTAATGTTTTCTGTCTTTTATTTGCGCCTGATGTGTATCGCTGCTGTGGAGCGGGGCGCATCAACTTGTCCACCGACGCACAGATCACTGATGCGGCCGGCAAGCAGGGAGCGCTCCGCTGTTTTCGCGGTCGGTAGATCTGCCTCCTGAGCACGGCCACAGTCACAATCAGGTGTCGCCTCCTCAAAAACTAATTTAACACGCGATCGTTCAGTGTCAGTTCATTTCCTTTAATGTTTTCTGTCTTTTATTTGCGCCTGATGCGTTTCGCTGCAGGCTGTGGAGCGGGGCGCTGCGGGCATCACCTTGTCCTCCGACGCACTGATCACTGATACGGCCGCCAAACAGCGAGCGCTCCGCTGTTTTTGCGGTCGGTAGATCTTTTAGAACTGCAGTTCAAAGGTAACTCATAAGGTGAATATATATGAACCCAGGCAGCAGTTTTTCTTTAGGATTGAGAGGAGATGCAGGAAGATAATAAACAGACAGAAAAATAGTCAAATAAAAACAAGTTAGTTTTTGTACCTGCTGTTGCAACAAACAGACACTATTGAAGGTCATCAGAAGTGAGGAACAGAAAATGAAATAATTATTTTAATGTTTAGAGCAGCAGGAACTCCGAGAGGCTGCAGGCGCATCAGTGAGTTTGCGGCCGCTGTGCAGGGGGAGGGGGGAGAGGGCTGAAGAAGGAACTACCGTTGTTAAAAGAAATGTGTTTAACTTTAAAAATGTGGGCGCAATTTTAATTGTCAAAAACTCCAGCGAACCATTAGTTCATTTTGCTCAAATAGAAATAGAGGCCTGCCTCTAATACTGGCCCTCCTTCCAATAAAGGCCTGGAGCTTGATGAGCTTGGGTCAAATACAGGCCCGGGCCTGTATTAGAGGATTTACGGTATATACATATTAAGCAACTTTAAGCGAAACATGTGAATAGTGCTAATCAGTTCTGAACTCACTCAAAATCAGATGAGGGCTGGCTGGCAAACTTAGGCTGGTTTCGACATCCGCTGCCGTTGCAAACTCCTGTAAATCATGGACAAGTGTACATTAGCAAGACAGTATGCATATACATACAAAAACGGACGAAGTTCATAATATTTATGTGCAATAAGCCTACATCAGTAGTCAGAATCAGCCCATCAGGGGACTCCTTGAAGTGAGCCATCAAAAGCTGGACAACAAGGAATGTTAGATCATCAGTTTCTTCTTGTGCCAGGATTGTCTGGACATTAGCAGTCTTGACTTTAGTGCGGAAGTACTCCACAATGGCATTAACAAACTCCTCAATTGACAGTTCCAAGGCACGGAGGATGGCAACATCAGTCAGCAACTCAAAGTGAGAAAAAAATTCCACATTGTGTAAACAGGTATGGCCAGCTGGTTTGCAGATCAGTTAAGGAGGGAGCAGGGATCCTGTTTATATGTTTGCGCTGAAGGCTAAATGCTAAAGGCTAAAACTCCTAAAATTACTATAGTGCAAGTGATGTTTCATTTCGTGTCATGTTTTGTAAGTATGCTAAACTTTGACAAGTGGGTTTCTGGTGATCTATATATTGACTTAATACTAACCAAAACCATGATTTACATTCTTAAGAGTGATAAACTCACCTTTCAGAAGCTTTCAAGTTGGAGGATGAAGAGTGATTGTCTTCTTTTTCTTCTTCTTCAACGTAACTGGCTGTTCAAGTTGACAACTTCAAAAATGTGCTTCAAAGGAAATACTGTATTAGACCAGACCGTTTTTTTGCCGTAATTTTCCAGCTGTCGTTATTCAACAGAAAAAACATCAGATTTAACATTATCCTACCATAATTTGGAAAAACGGTATGTTACTGTTGGAATTCTGCAGTAAATATACAGAAATCTCTGAGTGTACGAGTTGACAAGAGATCCCCGAATGCACTCATCCTTCCAGCTAAGCTTAGCTGACTGACTGACAAAGGGGTTTTAGCGCCCTATTTATAGGCTGGCAGGATGACGTCACAAAGCGACGTAATATAGCGTAAACAGGCAGCGTCACGTGCAGCGCCACGTGCGTTTTCAGCGTTTGTGAGATCATAATAAAGGTGTGTGTGTGTGCGCGCGCGCACACTCTTTGACTCATAAATATAATGTGAAAAAACAAGTCACGCAACATTTTCCACAAATGCACACGCTAATTCTGAAGTTCACACTCTGTGGTTCACAAATATAATTTGTAAGAACACTTGTAATATAAACTCACAGATCATACGAATTGCTGAACGTGCATTTACGAACAGCTTCTCATTTGTGAACCTTCCTGCGTTTGTGAGTGAAATCTGTGTGGTGCATTCACGAACAGCTTCTCATTTGTGAACCTTCCTGCATTCGTGAGAGAGCCAGATGCTCTTGGAATTTTGAGACACTCCTAACGTCGCAGATCAACAAACGTCACCATTGGCTAATGAATCTGTCAATCAAATATATGATTCTGCCAGGGCTGTTCGCTTTCAGCCAATCATATGGCTTCTTATATTACGGAACAGATCTGCTGTGCGCATGCGTATTGCAGTTCACACGGCAGAGCGGGATGGACCGGTCACAATCTGTGAGTAACAGTTTTATCTTATTCCCTCGTTGTAATTGATGCAATGTTATAGAATTATGAGTAGAAGCGTTCTTCATTGTCAAGTAAAATGTTTTATGTTCAATTCAGTCCAGACGTTACGTGAAGTCTGGTCCATTTTTCATCTAGTTTAACATCAAGCTAAACTCAAGCGAACATTTGTTTAGTTAGCGTGTCTAGGTACCATTTTTTTTAGGCCACAGTTGTCAAACTCAAGCCCTTGGTCTATTTTTATTTGCCCCGCGAAATCAAATATCAAATATATAATATTAAAACTGGCCCGCCGGGCGATTTTGCTGATAAGACTACTAATCCCACAGTGCTTTGCGGCGTCAGCGCGCGAGACGGACGAAGCAAGCCCTCTTTTATGTTTACGATCATTAGCATCCATGCTAGTAGAATCAGCGTGTGCAGCGTTACCCTCAGTCTTAAACAACTGAAGATACTCCTCTAAGCGCCCAGTTTACTCAGCGAGTTTCCGACTTTGAACGCCTAGAAAGAAGGTATCTGGCTGGAACAGGTGACCATCAGAGTGGAGAGAACTGAGCTTGAAACATTTAATTGTCCTGAACTTTTTCTGCTCCAAAGCATGAAAGTTAATAACTGAGATATTTTCATAGAAGATAATTGCTATTTTTGGTTTTTGTTGCCTGTAAAAAAAAGATTCAACTTACTCTAAAATGGGAACTGGACAGACTACAAACTGAAGAATAGAATAGAAAATACCTTTATTGTCCCTCAGTGGGGAAACTGTGATGTCACAGCAGCAATAACGTTCATTACAGAAGCCAAACAGGAGAGTAAAACATAATAATAAAGAGTAAACTAAAAGAAAACATAAAACCGACAAACTTAAAATATCCAAAAGGTAAAACAATCTAAATACTGAATATGTACACATTGTAAGGAGTAAAAAGAGTAAATAAAAATTGAGACATAAGTAACGAGTGATGTGTTTTATTTAAAATGTACTTGCTCGTGTGTAATTTGGTCATATCAGATTCTGTGTTCAGATGCAAAAATAAGTTTCTTTCCAATTGAATAACAAGACATCTGTAAATAAACTTTTCAACAAATATTGAGTTTGGCCCGCAATTTTGTCCCAGTTTTTAATTTTGTCCCATTGTGAATTTGAGTTTGAAACCCCTGCTTTAGGCTGTGCGTGCAGTAATAAGGAGACAGACACTGGCTGAGCCGGTGCATAAATGTTAGATTTTCTGGTGGTGTGCGATAGTTAAAGAAATATAATTTTTTTAAAAATAAAATACATCTTTAAATTTTGGCCAATGAGCTCTGGCACATAATAAACAGAAATACTGCTTCATCATTTCATGTACCTTTGAATCTACAGTTGGTCTTATTTTAAAATGTTTTTTTATTAAAACTATCATAGCTGGAGTGTTAAAAAAATAAAAGTGCCATAAGATATTTGGAAGTTGTTATTTTATTTCTATTACCCAACAGTTATCCAATTCATGTTTGTTCTGTTTTTGTTTTTTTTTTCCTCTAGGAATCATTGAGGCGTGACATCCTTCAGAGGTTTTACGATCGACTGTCAAGCATCTTGGAGAGGCAACCTGTTGATTGGGAAGGGCTATAGTTTGCTTGTCACCATTATTTAGTTTTATTAGGTGCTCTAGGTGACATTGATGTGGGAGGGAGAGGATATACTTTCTGCTCTTTCCGATCTGAATACTATTATCCAGCAGGAAAGAGATAATCAAAAGACATTAATAACAGTACACGTTGAAAGAGGTTCTCGTGGCCGTCAACGATTGGCGGTGTCGCGAGAGGCTCTCGAACACCTTGTGGAAATGGGTCTGCCAACAAGTGTCATTACCAAACTCCTTGGTGTATCCAGAGCAACTCTATTTAGACGGATGTCTGAAAATAATATATTTATTTATATATTTGTATCTGCCACATGCAGTAAATGCAGTGATGAGGAACTAGATTATTTTATCACAGTAATTAAGAGCAACATGCCAGATGCTGGGTACAGGGTAGTCCGAGGTGCTCTACTTGCCCAGGGACATAGAGTACAGTGGGACCGACTGTATGCATCCATGCATCGTGTGGACAGTGCGGGTGTACTTGCTCGAATGACACATCTCGGATGTGTAGTGAGAAGGACGTACACAGTTCCTTGCCCAAAGTATATGGTGCACATTGACACCAATCACAAGCTCATCAGGTAATGTCTGTGTGTAATTGGAGATGTTATTTTTTGTTTTGGGAGTTACATTTTTAATTGTCTGTGTTTTAACCGAGACACAGCCATAAAAACACCGTCCGCCACGTTCTTTCCACTGCTGGTGTCTGACATCATCTCACGTCGCCATTTGTAGTTCTCAAATGGACTACAAAACACATACGTACGCACAAGCAATAATACATTTTGTTTTTGAAAGTAAATGAGTACAATCTTAGTCATTACATTTTGAAATCTATTGCTAAAGGTATTTTTTCATTCATTCACTTTTTTCACTGTGAAAATGAGGAAAACAAAAAAAGGTCGATTAAGAACAAAATTGTGTTTAATATTTCAAGAGTGCAATTTAAAACTATAAAACACTGGAACCCCAGGAAACTGCAGGCTTGTTTAAAATAAATAAATAAATACAAAGTACAGCTCACCACTTAAACCAAAAAATTTAACATTTTTGATGCTTTTTATTATTATACTCACCTTGATGATATATTTTTAAAGCATTAAAGATGTTTATTATACATGAGGTTTAGTTAAACTCGTATCTAATGTATTTCAAATTTCTATATTTTGACCACAAACACTTGGTGCATCAAACTATAGCACTTAAAGGTTTTGACATTCAGCAGTTTCTTTTTGATTGAGAGAAAATTGGTAGTGTCATTAAGATAGTATAGAAACATATTTATCATTTCAGTAAATATGTATTTTAATGGTAATGGAACAAAACATTTCTGCATTTTAAATGACTTAAGTAGTTTCTTTGTATTGTTTAATCTTGACAAAGCAGAATGTTTTTGTTCTCTTCGATGATGGTTTATTTTATTTTCATTTCCATGATGTGACTTGAGTTGAAGTAGAAAAAATTTAGTATTTTACTTTATAATATATTATGAAAATTGAATTTGAAGAAGACATGTAGTAATAAAGTGACCCATTAGTATTACAGTAAGTTGAGGAATAGCGTTCGAACAAAGTGAAAGATTCATGTTGAATTAAAATGTTTGAAGAGCTCAAATTACTTAATGACAACATGTTTCTATCAATTTGTATTAACACAGAATATACATGTTTGTTTAAAGTGAAAAACTTGTTCATTCCACTCAAACGTTTTACTTGCAATTAAAGCAAAACAATTGTGTGCAACCACTTTCCATAATTGAATTAAGTAAATCATACAAGTAATTTTTTTTTTCAGTGTAGCTCCTTCGAGTCTCTGGGAGTAAAAGCAGAGCTATGGATGAAGACATTGGTCAACAGCCCATATCCTTTCCTTACTGAGAGAAGTAACTTTGGCTGTGAAGATCAGCTGGGGTTGCTTTTTGTTGTTTTTTTGTTTCTCATTCACAAACTTCCTCAATTGACAACTGGAAGCTTTAGAATTCATGCTTCCAGGAAACCGGTATTGGACGAGCGTGAAACTTTTCATCTTTTAGAGTAGAACTGAGGAAGCTTCTTAAATGAGACAGGACATGTATGTCTTTGTGACAGAACTGAATGTTTAGGTACCTCTGGTGGGTTGTAATCTGTTTGATCTGTGTCTTTAATCTGTATTTGGATCATCTGAACATGTTTTGGCCTTAACCTTTTCCACGTTTTGGGACCTGCTCAAGGTGCTTGTAATCCTTACCAGCATTGTGAGCGTGAGCCCCGGTGAGGAGCCCCTGCACCTGAAGGTACGTGCGAGCCCTGACATATTCCCCACATCTGTTTAAGCTGTTTTATTATAATCCTGCTGTTTTTAACCACGTCTCCTCAGGTCATCAACATCAGCTGCTTCACCTTCGTTTCTGACACGGTCCTGAAGGTGGCGTCGCTGGGCATCTGCAGGGAGCGGGGTCACCTTTGTAGCATCTGGAACCGGGTGGAGTTATCTGTCTTGATTATTGAGTGAGTTTACTTATTTACTATTTGCAGATGAAAAACATTGTTTAATTTTAGCTGAAGTGACAGATTTAAAACGTTTAATTTTTTTTTCCCTGTCAGGATCGTGGACTGCTTCCTGTTTCGGTTCCGGATGCACGTGAGGATCAGCTACCCGCTGAAGGGGGTCAGGCTGATAATCAGAGTGAGGGGTAAGTTGATGACGGAGCACAGAAGGACCTTTGCCACCATTCAAACACCAGCCTTCACTTTTATTACTAACAAATCTATTCATAATAAATGGATTTGTGTTTAGATCCATCCCTGGAAGTCTGGCATTTAATAAATTATTTATTAAATGCCAGACTTCCAGGAATGGATTTAAACACATGTAGATTCATGAAAACGTATTCCTAGTGACTCGTAAATAACACGACGTTTGTGAGGAGCCACAAGGCCAAGGTTTTTGTCAAACATCTACATCTGGTTGTTTATGCTATTATGTTTATTTATTTAGCAGACGCTTTTATCCAAAGCGACTTACAATTTATAACCTATAGGGCATGTTGTGATCTGTGGGGGAAACCGGAGTGCCCGGAGGAAACCCACGCATGCATGGGGAGAACACACAACTCCACGCAGAAAGGCCACAGCCGAGCTGAGTTTCGAACCTGCAACCTTCGTGCTGCGAGGCAACAGTGCTAGCCACTGCGCCACCATGCAGCACCATGGTTGTTTGTGTCTACATTCCTGTAGAACTGCGAAGGTGGATGAAGAAAATCATACCCATCATAGGACGGTACATTCTGGTGTACCTGTTTATGGTGTACACCTTCGGCACCATGGGGGCCCAGCTGTGGGCCGGCGACCTCCGCCATTGATGCTACACGAGCGACCTGGACCTTGTGTAAGGCGATGATTTTGTCTGCTCCTCTCATCTCTCTGTAGGACCACTTCATGTGTGTTAATGTTGCTGCTTTTCAAACACTCATCCTTCAGCCCAGCTCATTTGCTTCACCCTGAAGATTTTGTGCCTTAGCGACTTTGGGGCTTCTTTGTGGACGGCTTGGGCCTGCTGTACAGGATGAAGCTGTACTTGTGGGAGCATCGCTGCTGCAGGTACAGATGTTCACACAAACACTCATTTAGTCGAGTCTCTGGGAGCTGCTTTGGTCTCCAGCCGTCACCCTGGACTGGTCGCCACGTAGAGACAAAGATGACACAAAAGCAGTCACACATTCACTCACACCACAGCAAATCCCATCACTGCTGAAGCTGAACGTGCACGGATGCAGTGGGATCCACTCATTCTCTGTCTCTTGTGTCTCAGATTGTCCACGGTGAGCGACCGCTGGTGGAGCAGCCGGCGCCGCTCACGTTTGGTGAGACTAAAACACGTTCAGCTAATAAATTTTTTTTTGCTCATCCTCCAGCAACTCTGAACCCATGACCTGAAGGCAGCTGAGTGATCTCATGTTCATGATGTTCTTGACTCTGGATCTTTTCCTGAAGCCCGAGGCTCTGACTACAGCCCTGAACACATGCGTGTTCGTCGGGACGTACTCATCGGAGTTGGTGGTGGATCTCCTCCTGTACAGGGTACTTCACTGATTGGGGCAATCTCCAGGACTTCGCCATCATCATCATCATCGGGTAGAACAATCTCAGTCAACCTTTGCTTTTGAGAACTGATGGTTTATTTTTTTGCTGTTATAACTATTTTTGTTGTTTTCTCTCAGCATTGTGGAAATGGTGTGGCAAACAGAGACCAGACTCTACGTCCTCCGCATCACTCAGATCAGCATGCTGTACTTCTCGCCTGAGCCGAAGAGGCAGTTCGAGATCCTGAAGCGATCCATCAAGCAGTCGCTGCATCTCTTCAGGTTTTTTTTGCGCAGCTTCAGGCACGTACACACACATGCGCGCATACACACACGCACAGAATTTCCTCTAATAAGGATCTGGCTGACTCTCGCTGCAGCATGTGGGGCATGACGTTGTTCAGCCGTGAGAGCTTTCCACCGCCGGAGGTCAAGGGACTCTTTCATCCCCAGGCCAGCTTTGACTCGCTGTGGTGGTCCATGCTAACCGTCTTTCAGGTATTACTTCCTTCCATATATTCAGTCGTGACTCGACTCCGGTTTTTATAAACGTTTATTTTCATTTCAGATCATCACCGGGGACGGCTGGAATCTAATAATGTACAGTGCGATGCTCTACCACTCCCCATACATCGCACTGTCATAATCGTTGGGAAAGACCTCCTAAGCTTCCTGGTGTGCATGGTCGTGGTAGGCTTTGACCGTACGGTATGAATCTGCTTCTGCACACCACCACAGAGCGTTTTCTTAATTGTAGCACAAGGAGCCTGAAACGTTTTTGTTTTCCCCAGACATCACCTCTAGAAACCGACTCCTCCAGGTCAGTGTCCCAATCGGACCCTTAGTCGGCCTCTTCAGGGCCACCAACCAGCTCGCTGTCTGGACCTGTAAGTTACTCTGAAGCAACCTGTCCTTGAAATCCACTATTTGAGCAGCAACACCACTTTGAGACGGGTGCGTTCAAGTGCTGCTTTTTGAAATGTGTCACTTTTGTCACACACACTTTTGTTTATGTAGACACCCGAGTCCAGCGGAAGTAGCAGCAGCTAGCCCAGCGAGTTGAGGGTCAACAGAAGCCCAAGCAATGTAAGTCTGAGACGAGACTTTTGTCAAAGTTCAGATTTTTCACTTGTGTTTTGGTGACAGAGTTTGTCTTGTTTCTGTCCATGAGTACGAACAAAGTGTGGTTACTGGAAGTCTCTAAGATGATTTCAAGATCCTGTTAGTAAAGTGTGGTTACTTGTGTTTTTCTGCACAGGCACGGAGATGCTCCAGCCAGAGGAGTAGCGCCGGGTTCCAGAGCAGCTCAGAGGTTTAATGGAGTGCTGGGACCGTTTAGCTCATTTTCAAGTTTTAATTTTCAGGTTAACAAAATTTTAATGTTTTAATTTTGGTTATGAAGCAAAACTGTGCTTTAGTGCTTTTGCTCTTGGTGTCAAACTAAAAACTGTTTTTGTTTTTGACAAAGTTGTTGTGTTGTTTAGCAACAGTTTGGTATTTCTGGTTTTGTTTACCCAAAAACAGCAAATGTGAAGTCAAAGTAAACATGAGCTTTTGTTTACGTGGAACTAAGACCAAAGTGCATTTGTAATTTTCTGTCTTTATTTTAATGAAACATGATATTTTTTTTAATGGCTGACAGGTAAATATCATCACTTAAATGATAGAATTGTCAAATAATTTAAAACCAAGATAAAAAGACAAGCTACACGATTCATTATCTTGGATGTATTTGAACAACCATTCCTTTTTCTTCACTTGTTTAGTTTTGTGTCGAGTTAAAAAACAGAGTTAAATGATGCAAGTTTGTGATTTTGTTCAAAAGGAAAGTCATAATTTCAGAGATTTAATTAAAGGTTTGTAAGTGGCTCAAACATCAGGGTGTAAGCATCCTCCAGTCCAGAGGCTTGGAGTTATGCACCGTGTTTCAACAAGGCTGCAGCGTCACCACGGAAGATGAAGAGTCGTGTTTTTGGCCAGAATCATGCAGAGAGGACTGGCTGATCCCTTTAGGGCCCCTGAAGAAAAAGCTGCAGACACACTCGGATCTCCCAGCCTGTGGTCCTTCCAGCAGCAGAGGCATCTACTTCAGCTTGTCTTCTCAGCAGAGTGAAGATCTGAAGTTTAAAAATTTTGCCATAAAATGCGGAGACATTGAATTATGACTTAATAACTTTATTATGTTTAAGTGATGAGTAATTAAGACACGTAAAAACAGTATTTTAAGCTTTAAAATACATAATAGGTGCTACTTGGTGTGCCCTCTGGTGGAGGGCCTGTGTACTACAGGTTGCCAGTCACCTGTTATGCATTCCTTTGCCTCAGCTTTGATGGTCTTGCTCAGGGAAAAAGGCTAATTAAAGATGTGAAGAACGGTGAGCCCGACGTTCTTCACACAAACATCCACTCAACATTTGCCTCTAAAGCTAGTTAGGCGTAATATGTCCCTTTTAAATTAGATGACTGGTTTTAAAGAATGAAAATTACGTTTACAAAAAGTTTATATGCCAAGTTATTTAACTGCCTTCGTTCCTATAATTTAATAAAATCACATCTATTATATAAAGTGGAAACATACTGTAGTGAGAATATTTGTTTCTTGCAAAAATGGGGCCTGTAACTAGCTGAGATTAGGATTCTCATGTTTAGTTTGCTTTTGGGAAGCTTTCCGATTGTTTTCATAATTTATTTAATAAACACATTTGAGACATCTGGTGAGCATTGTTTTCTTATGAAAGCTACCAAGATGAAGTTTGTGCAAAATCTCAAGATTAAACACCTTCACGTGCAAGTTCAGAAACTTGTACTAAATAATTTTCTTACTGCTGGTGAAAAAGGACTTGAATTCTTAAAGATGCACAACAGGACCTGTTTTACAAAGAATTGATATTATTGATGAGCATTTGTTAGCCAACCCCATAATTTCTTGTTTCCTGATAAATGGATCATTAATCTTCATTTACAAGATACAGATACAATAAAAACCCAAAGTACGACTCATCTGGACCAAAGTGCATCTGGGTTGTTTCGTTGTTGCCCTCCAAAAATTCTGCACAAAGGCATGTTTAAGATATTTAATCAAATTTGAGTTGCTACATTTAATTACTTTGCTTCACGACTCAAACATCTGATAGATTTTTTTAAAGCGAAACAGGGATTAAATCATAATCTGTCAGTCCTATCAAAAATAAAGGTTTTCAGGTTTTTATGGTCCAAATTATTTCCAATGAGCCAAATTTCGTTTCAGAGGGCTAACTGTTGCTAATTATTATATCTTTAGAGCCAAGGTATTCACAGAGGCATTACTGGATTGTGTTATCTTTTAATGACCGTTTAAGCTCACATTATTTATGAGTACTTGTCAAAAGAATGTGGTGTGTGAAATTTCCTATCAGATAAATAATGAAAATAGGTGTTTTTCCCCACACTTAAATGGTACAAAATGAAGAAAAGAACCCAATTCAATGTTATTGCACCTAGCTTTAGATTAAAAGAGTACCACTTTTATCTTAAAACAGACTTTTACCAGCATCACAAACAGACTGATGGCAGAGAGACTGTGGCTTAATCCTCAGATTCTTCAAGATGCGCTGCTGTTTAAATCTTCCTTGCAGACCAAACTCCCACTCCTCCAGCTTGGGCCGTGTCTCTTCCTGCAGAGCAGCTGGGAGGGTGAAGGAATACAGGCAGCATCTGTGATGGGGGCCATGTGCCTGCCATGACGCTGAAGCCGTTCTCACCATCAGAGGAGTCATGGACAGACAATTTTCAAAGCTCTCGGTCTGATCGAACCAGTAAGTGACGGGGAAACCCAGTAAGACTCCAAACACTGTGCACAGGTTCCACTCCTCAGATTTCTTCTCAACATAAAGAGGTTTCTCAGCCTCTTCATGTTGTTTCAGAAGCAGGAGCAAATCCTCCATCACACCCTTCATTTCTCCTCTGTGTGAGTTAGAGACAGCAGGTTGGTCCAGCGAGTGGCAAACATCAATAAAAGCCACGCTGTCATCACAGAGCACCCGCCCTAGATTTGATCTGACCGCTCCTGTGTTGACGATGAGTTTCCATTTGAATCCAGAGTGAAAAGGGATTCATTTCAGACACGTGTCTCCTCAGCCGGTGACCTAATGTGTCAGAATTACGCTAGGACGATGGTGATAAAGCTTCCGCTTCCCCGTCACCACTGTGGACTCCTTCCGCTTCCTCGGAACCACCATCACACATGACCTTAGGTGGGAGCCATCCATCAGCTCCCTGATCAAAAAGGCCCAGCAGAGGATGTACTTTCTGCGGCAGTTGAAAAAGGCCAAGCTGCTGACCCAGATGATGGTGCAGTTTTACACGGCCATCATTGAGTCCATCCTCACCTCCTCCATCACTGTGTGGTACGCTGGAGCCACGGTGAGGGACAAAAATAGACTGCAGCGCATTGTGCGCTCCGCGGAGAAGGTGATTGGCTGCAGCCTTCCATCTCTCCAGGACCTGTACGTCTCCAGAACTCGGGGGCGTGCAGGCCGGATTGCAGCTGACCCTTCTCACCCGGGACACAGACTTTTCGAGCCGCTTCCCTCAGGCAGGAGGTTACGGTCCATCCAGACCAGAACCTCCCGCCATAAGAACAGCTTCTTTCCATCTGCCGTTAGACTTGTGAATAGCTTATAAACACACAACCATGCTCGTCTGCTGTACTTGACATAACGTCACGTTACCGGCCATATTACCATTACCTGCCTTTTTTATAGCTGAATGTTTTATGCTAGTTTTATTATATTTTATTCTACTTATTCTATTTCTGAAATTTATTATTCATGTTATATGTAGCACATTAGTACCGAAACAAGTTCCTAGTTTGTGAACTGCTTGTTCACTGACAATGGCAATAAACCTTTTCTGATTCTTATTCTGATAAAACAATCCAGTTACTGTAAAAGTCAAAAGCTGTATTTCTAACTGACATGTTTCTTGTCTTTTAGGCATCTTAAACCAACAAAGAAGAAACAAACAACTCCAGTAAATACAGAAATATTTCTTGTGCTACTTTGGAAACAAATCATCTTTACTTGTTTAGTTTTTATAAATGTCACCTCTGATTAAATGAAAATAATTACATTTAAATAGCATCTTTGTGATTGTGATCTTTTAGTCAGACTGACTGCTAGATGTTCAGCCATTAAGGACTTTAAACTTGTGATTTTATGCAGCCATGTCAGTTCAGGACCTTTATGTTGACGTAGCTCACAAATATCTGTCTGCTGGTAGAAAGTCCGTCTGTTCCTCAGAGTCTCGACCTTGCTGCGCATGTCTCGGCTGTGGAGGTGGGGTTGAAACCTGCTCTTCTTTATGACAGTAATGGCTTGTGCAGCATGGTCCAGCAGTATCTGAGCTCCTTGCAATCCCTCCAGCTTAATTATTAATTATCAGATTATAATCTGAGAGATTTCTTGCAACCCAAACGCCTGAAGCAAACAAGCCTACGTTGACCAGAAGATTCCTAAAAATGTAAACAAGACATTCAAAGATTGCACAGTAATTTAAAATAACCAACAACAATCAGTCCTTATTACACATTTAGGACAGCTAAAACTGCCTGAAGCTTGAGCAATTATTTTCTGGAACCGAAACTACAATTCAATGAGGTTTAAGAATGTTTTAAAACAGATGTTAGTTTTGTCTTAAATTATAACATAAAAAACTAAAAATATAACATGTTAGTTGATTTTAAAAATCCCTAATGACAAATAAACCCAGAGTAACAAATACGTATAGTTTACTTTTAGATTTTCATTTAAAACAGTAAACTCTTTGTACAAAGAATAAAAAAACATCATTAATAATTTAATTTAAAATCAAACTGTTATTTCTGAATGTTTTAGCTGAGGAGTTATATTAGTTTTTCTCAGTTGCTTTGGTGCATTTCTCACAACAGAATTGATCTCTGCACGCTCTTCTCAAAACAATTAGTGCAAACTGCAAAACATGGTGGATAACTTGCAAAGGTGAGTCATTTCATCAAAAAGAAAAGTCAGTTGTTCAAAAGCTCAGAATAAGTAGTCAATGCTTCAAAAGCAAGTCCCTTAATCAAAACAGGTAATATATTCATCAAAAGCAAGTACTTATATCAAAGTGTCAGGGCTGTCACAATTACAAGTCATTACACCGGCACCTTTGGTCACAAAATCAAATGGTTTGAACATGTTCTCATTGTGACGGATTTCTTTGTAGGTGCTTCCCAATGACATGTCAAGTCTGGACAGCCTGCATGGCATGTTGAAAAACATAAATTGTAAAGGAAAATCAAGACACTTCATATGCACTCTTGATAATATTTAATTGAAACTGTTCACGGCATTGTGCAACTGGGGAAATACAGTAAAACAAACATTTTACAGCAAACATAAACTAATTTAAGACCGTAAGCCTTACTGCAGTAGTTATGAAACAAAAACAGAAAATTGAACAGACACTGCTGCATATCAATCACTGACTGATTTTGAAGGAAAGGAACACACGCGAGATCCCAGCAGAAATTAAAGGGGGAACAGTTTAGATGTGACACAAGTTACGGTGTCCGAAAAGGCTCAAGCCGTGAACGTACTCGTTCGCGTAAATATTACATGACCAAAGATGTCTGCGACACGATATCGTCGGTTTTTAAAGCTATGCGAGGAATGGCCCCGAGACGAGACCAAAAAGGGCCGCGATTTGGGAACATTTCTGCGGCAGAGGGTCGCTTCTGCGTTCCGCGAGGGCGAAAACACGCAGGTAGGAGGTCACGCGGCGGCTGTTGAAGCTTTGGACAAACGCTTCCTGTCGACCTTGCAGCGTTTGTTGATGTGGAAAAGACGCAGCTGCAGAAATAACACCGCGCTAATATACTTTACTAAATTAATACAAAACTATATTATGATGTTGTATTATTTTAATAAATTGTATAATACGACAGTTAAAAATTAACAACTGAAAAGTGTTATTTTAGTTATTTTTCGCAAACATTTAACATTTACACGACTGAATTTTATACTCATGACTGAAAAATATTAAGGTTATTATTCTTTTATGACAGTTAAAATAGATAATGCATTGGCTAATATGAATATAAATTATGCTTTATATATGACTTACTGTGCTATTTTTATATATTCAGAGAATTTGTTTTAATCATTTGCAGTCAAATATGTTGCTTAAGTAATTTGTAAACCACTTCCTTCAGCTTTCATTTGCATCCAAACAAAATTAAAAGCTATTCTATTAACAGTTCCATCTTTTGTCACCTTTTCAGATTGCAGATCCAGAGAAATGTGACCAAATGTATGAAAGTTTGGCTCGTATAAATGGAAACGTGTACAGACAAAGAGTAAGTTGATTTTCACCATTGCTTTTTTATTTGTTGTGTGCTGCATTCAAGAACTGACAAAAATATACTTTTTTTTTGTGAAAATGACAGTAAAACATCTTACTTGATGTTAGTAAACCACGTTGGGTTAATTTGTAAAAAGTATGTGTTTGTAATTTGTAACCAAACATTCTCATGAAACTCAAATAATCTCCTTTTAATGCTGGAATTAAAAAGTGTAATGATAGACTTTATTATACTGAATCGTACAAATAATGTGTGTTTTGTCCAGTTTCCTCGTGTGAGAGACACAAGTTTTACCGGTGTTACAGCAGAGGAGTGCAGAGTCCTTCTGTCAGGTAGGAAACCTAAAGCATCTCATCTGTCGTATGTTTTTGACTCTTTTTCATCCGTCATGTAGAGCTGCCACAGATCCGCTGTTAGTTACACCACGTTTGTTTACAGGGAGTATTCAACAGAGCATGGATGAGGAAAAGAAGGGTTTGTGGAAATCTTTAATGAAGAAATTCTCCTCCAAATCACCGGAAGACGTTCCAGAAAAAGCTCCTGAAAAATAGCCCTTTTTTGCTTTTCATTTTGCTTGTATAGAAATAAAGCTCATTATTGTCATCTATGCATATAATGGTTTTTAATTAGGTTTGTTTCTTGAGACGCTCTAATATTCTAAGATGTTTTGTAAAAGTCAACTGAGAATCGAGAAAAGACAAAATCCGATCATTTTTTTTACTGCAAAAGTCTTCTGATTTTCTCTTTAGTTTCACTTCATGTTCGCTCTTCCTTCTTCTATCTCAGGAACATTGCTAAGCTGAGTCCCATTCTGTCCTGCTCTGAACTTGAGACTGTTCTCCACACCTTCATCTCCTCACGCTTAGACTACTGTAACTCTCTTTTCACGTGTCTGAGCAGAACCTCCCTGAACCGTCTGCAGGTGGTTCAGAATGCCTGTGCTCGGCTTCTGACCAAGTCCTCCAAATACACCCACATCACCCCGCTTCTCCTCCAGCTTCACTGGCTGCCAGTCAACTTCAGGGTTCATTTCAAGATCCTGGTTCTGGTCTTTAGCGCCTTACATGGACAAGCACCATCTTACATTGGTGATCTTCTCAGTCCCTACACCCCCAGCAGGTCCCTGAGGTCCAGTGATCAAAGCCTACTGGTTGTGCAGCGCCAGGCTAAAGACTAAAGGTGACAGATCATCTGCTGCTGTGGTCCCCAGACTCTGGAGCTCTCTACTCCTGAGATCAGTGGACTCCTTTAAAAGCAGAAAACTCACCTGTTCAAGCTGGTTTTGGTGTGACCTTCATCACCCTCTCCTTGTTCCCCACCTATTCCACCTTCCTCAGCATCCACTGATTTCCCTCTTTCCTATTCTTTCTCTTTCTTTACATTTTTTAATCACAATTGTCTATTTGTGCTAATTTTAAATATATTTTTAATGATTTTCTAAATTATTTATGTTTTTACATTTCTTGTTTTTGTGAAGCGCCTCGTGATTTTTATCTTGAGAGGCGCTTTAGAAAAGATCTTTTCTTCTTCTAAAGGTTTCAACAGGAAACCAAAACTGGAACAGTCAGACCAGCAATAAAGACCTCAGTGTTGATGAAAAACTGGTGACTTCCATTTTACAGAAAGTCAACCCGTACAAGTTTCCTGGCCCAGACAGACTCGGGGCCAGGGCGCTGCACAGCTGGGTGCAGTCATCACCAGACTTTCAGCTTCTTTTGAACTTTAGTTTTGTTCCCAGTCTGTGGAAGGAATCCTGCATCATTTCAGTTCCTAAAAAGGCTAATTCAAAAGACCCCAATGACTTCAGACCCTTTCATCGGTGCTGTTCAAATGCATGGAGAGAGTTGTGTGTGATTTCATGTCACACAATGTCTGGGAACCTGGATCCTCTAATTTGCCTACAGGGCAAAAGGAGGTGTTGAGGATGCAAGTCTGACTCTTAACTACCGCTGCTATACACAGTTTTCTCCATTTACGCTGATGACATCACCTGTAGCAGGGCAGGATTTCAGCTTTTAAAATATGCAGACGACATGGCGCTGGTGGACAGTGGGTCCTGACCACAACTTGTAAGGAACAATCCCTGGAACTCAACATCTCACAAACAAAGGAGTTGTGCTGTGCATGCGGAGACAGAGCCACTGCATCTCAGCTTTTTAAACCGGTGATCATTCAGGGAGAGCAGGTTGAACAGGTGGAGAGTTTAAAATATTTGGGCACACAGACAGATGTTCATCTGTCCTTTCAACGACACTCAGATTCCATTTACAATAAAGCACTCCAGCGCCTCCATCTCATCAGGACATGAAGGGATTTTAATGTCAGGAAAAACATCTTAACTACGGTCTACCGGTCAATCGTGGAATCCATTTTAACGTTTAACATTACATCCTGGTACAACTTTCTCACTTATAGGCACAAAAATAAACTCCAACGGATCACATATCAAGCCGGCAAAATAATGGGTTCATTACACCCCCCAGATCCTAGAGATAGGATCAGAAGCTCGGTCATCTGGGGAGGGGCTCAGACTTGCTCCTCCACATCCATAGGAGCCAGTTGGAGTGGCTCGGACATCTGGTCAGGATGCCTCCCTGGTGAGGTTTCCTGGGCACGTCCAACCTGGGAGACCTAAAGGGAGACTTAGGATATGCTGGAGGGACTATGTCTCTCAGCTGGCCAGGCACCGCCTTAGGATTTGGCTGGAGGAGCTGGTCCAAATGGCTGTGGAGAGGGAAGTCTGGGCTGACTCTGGATAAGCAGTGAAAATGGATAGATAGATAGATAGATAGATAGATAGATAGATAGATAGATAGATAGATAGATAGATAGATAGATAGATAGATGGATAGATGGATGGATGGATGGATTGAGGGACAGTCTATAAGTATGTAGACCAAATGCTACACCGTTCTTTTGACTAGTGTGCAGGTATACATTGAGCTCCTTAAGGCTGAAAAGTAAAACCAGTGGATGAAAAACTTGTTGGATTAAATGAAGAATGTGTTTGCTGAGTTGCACGATTTACAAAACTGGTTTGTGATGTTAAATCTGAAATTGAGTCGCGAGTGAGCTGACTGGAGGGAATCCAGGTCTACATCCCTCCCTTAAAGCTGATTCTTTTGGGTCAAACTTTCACTTGAGAAAGTGGTGACATGTTCTTCAGATAGCGTTTGGAGAATCTACATCTTCTGTTTTCAAACATGAAGTTATTTTTCTGTGAACTTGATGCATTTTGGAAGAAAAGTAACACAAAATGACACATTTATGATTCAAATCTGGAAATTTGTCCAAAAACGTGAAACCACTTTTATCCTGTTTCCACTTTGTTCTACCTCCGGTCCACTACCTGTTTGGGTTTGAGTGCTGCACAGATACTATTCATGCTGCTGGGGTCCAGCTGCCACTGGAGCAGAAACAGACCAAGAACACATTTCTAAATATTCTCCATTATCTTTTCATCACAAAGACACGTTTATTAAGACAATGAGCAAAAAATCACATCCAGGTCTGAAAATGGGTTCCAACAGAGAAATAAACCAACATCCAAAGATTAAATCTCAGTGATCTGAAATGTTGGTTTGATTGCAAGGAAAAACTTAAATAAAATAAAACATGTTTTAAATGGAACAAGTGTGTTAGAAACCAGAAACTCTGCCCAATAAAACAGAATAAAATCAGTAGAACAGCTTTTACTGTTAGACTCACTTATCTCCACATCTCTCTTTGAGGTATTTGTTTCCCTCTAGTGGCAGAGTACTGCAGAACATGTAAAGGAAACATCTGTCTCCCTCTGGACCAAATCACTAAAGTCATTGTTGTTCAATTTTATTCATATAAAAGCAAATTTGACACATAAATAGCAGATAACTAATCCCATCTGCAGTGCACTTGTGATTCCTTCTGCTGGTAAAGAAGCTCGAGTGAAATTTTGGTGTATATATCAGGAATAAAACTGAGCAAGGGAAAGGAAAGGAAGGAGAGAGCTGGATGTTCTAACCCACATGACCTGGTCTATTTCATCATTCTCATAAAAGTGCACGTGAACCCTCAGATCCTCGAGTAAAAAAACCTGAACTCAGATGACCTTTTAGCCACGAAGCTCTGCAACAACTGAAGCATCTGATCTGCTGCTTCTGCAGCCTTCTGCTGCTGAGAAGGTAGACGGTGTCTCAGCGGGTTGAATGATTACAGGAACGAGCACAACTAGACCAGAGATAATGGTTTAATCAGATAACGTGAGACAGAAATAACTGAGCAGCAGGTCTGAGCTGCTTCTAAAACCACCTTTTTGTTCCACTGCTTGTTGGTTTGATCAGATTTTGACAAGAGAGGAAGGCAACAAGAGTTGGGGACGAGGTGAGTGTTGGTGGACCAGTGAGACGAGAATAAAGGACAAACATTTACAATTCAAACTCAAGACAAAATCCAGCAGGCAGGATTTTTTATAACGCCTGCTGGTGGTCGGAGGGACCAGTGGCGCCTGTGCTCGGCTGCCCCGCCTCTGTCAGTGCGCACCAGGGCAGCTGTGGCTACATCGTAGCTCATCACCATCAGTGTGTGAATGTGTGTGTGAATGGATGAATGATACACTGTAGTGTAAAGCGCTTTGGAGTCCTTACTCTGAGAGGCGCTAAAATAAAATGGAAGCAGCAATGATGCTCTGCTGGTCACAGTAACAAACTGGTATGAGGTTACCCTCCACACAGGCACCTCCTTGCAGCCCCCCCCCCCCCCCCTCCTCCTCCTCCTCCTCCACATCCTGGACAACAGCAGAAAGTGTTTCAGTGTCTCAGACGTCAGATCATCAGTGATTCTGTGTCGATAACCTTATAGTCTATGGTGAGTTGTACCCTTTTAATCCCAACATGGTAATGATTTATACAGAATAATATAAGATCCTTCTAAATGCTGCATGTTTGGTCGGCCAGATGTTTGACACAGAGGTGAGGAATATTTGATTCCCAAAGATAAGTGAAAATAAAACACTGATTTGACCTCTGAAACTGATGTTTGAACAGAAACATTTCAGCGAGTGACGCTGTCTCACCCCAGGAGCTGTTAGACAATAAAACATAACTATGGGCTGTAATAAGCTACGAGAACAACTGGTGATGTGTTGTTTATGAGACACAAGTCAAGTTAGAACACATGTAAACATCTGTAGAACAAAACAACCTGCAGCTGCTGAAGAAAGAAGGGAGAGGGAGAGAGAGATGGACTGATGCGCTGAAGGAGACAAAGGTGCGTGTTGAACAGGTCACGTGTAAAAGACGTGTAAATGTTTATGTGTGTGTGTGTGCGTACATGCGTGTGCGTGTTTAAACTAAGGTGGTTGCATTAAAAATTTATTCAACCAGAAATTTTGGGTGAAATAAGAATAGAATCTTTATTTTGTGCAGGTTGTACATTTCTGATCCGATCTTAAAAGTGTGGGTCACAGAAAAAAGATTTCTGATTATTATTTCTGATTCTAATGGGTCACTCTGAGTTTTTCATGCGGACTGAACATGAAAATAGTCTCCTACACCTATCTCCTGTATTATCTTCTGATAGAAAACAGACGGTGAAACTCTAGGATGAGAAAATCCTGACAGATCTACGTCACACTTCATGGACTCACCCATCTTGACTCACGACAGGGAAGGCTGTTGTTGGTTTAGGTCAAGGAAACAGCAGAGAACGTCACAGCTAGTAGAAGCTAACGTTAGCATTAGCTCCTCCACCACACAGCAGAACTCCTCAAGGCTTGTGTTATTTGTGGAGATAAAACATCAACAATGCAGAGCAAACAGAGTCGGTGGTAGAGTTGTGTTGCTGTTAGCCAGTCAGAGGTGAGATGTCCAAGTATCAGGAAACAAGATTTTAAATCCTGCAGTCTGATGCCAATGCAGAAGTGACAAAAATTGTTTTCCTCCCTCCAGCAGGGGCTGACTCCAGAAAGGAGAAAGCTCCCATAGACTCATGTTAAAAATGCCCATTTCACAGCAGAAATGAACATGTTAACATCCTGGTTCAAAAACCATTTTAGGTTAATTAGATCTAGTTTAGAGTCATGACCACTCTGAGGGGTTGACTTTTGTTGTATCTCATTCTGGCACGTGCAGAGGGGGCTGCGGAGGGTGCTTGAGACCCTGCCCCTTTTGTCTGAAGTGCCCAAAGTGCCCTTTTTCCGGTCGTTCGTCAGATTTTACGAGTAGGACCTGGCTGCAGACATCAGCTGGTGTGTCGAGAGCAAGATGGCGCGTCATTACTTTTACCGGAAAATCGACGAGCGAAAGACCTCGGCAGGAAGTTGGTCTTTTTTTTGGCGGCCGCTACTTTGTTTTTGTTTCAACCATACTCGGCGGGTTTCAATTGAGGAAAGGTAAGGATAAGCATGATAGATAAAGAAAGAAAGATAAGGATGAAATTAACTAATTGTTGCAACCGTTCTTAGTTCTTAAATGTAGGCACTGTAGCGTTTAAAGCTTTACCAGAGAATTATTGCAAAGGCACCGTGTTTCATAGCTAATTGTATCAATATTAACACGCAGTCTTAAAACGAAGGGAGATCACAAGCTAGCTAACACAAAAGCTACATAAATAAAGCTATCAGCAATTGTAGCTTAGCTTTAACTTAGCTATTTGATTTTTCTGGTCTCCCTGTTTGTTAAAACTGTTAAAGTAATAATATTAACTTTATATATAATTTAGATATGATATAAAGACCACGATTTCTAATACTGACTTGACTGAAACGTTATTAATACCCTTTTTTAATTAAAAAGCGTAGATTTTCAGAGATTTGTAAGTGGTTTCAATCACTAGTTTTCATATGAGGCTAAAGTTAGCTTCCGATTCGGGAAATGGCTAAAGGGCTAATACACCCAATTTTTCTCTACTCTGACCATTTTTATTCTGCTCTAGCTCAAAACCTACAATACATACACTCTTCAAACCTGTTTTAGATTATTCTGGGCTCGTAGGAATGCATAAAACATAGTTTGTGATTTGTGAAACCTTCCTCTGATTTGTGAAACTTCAAAAAGACAGATTTATGAATTTATTTTTCAGCATCTGGCCCACACTGGAACTGGTCCTGTGCACCCAGAAATAAAATGTATTTTCTGGACAAGCTTAGCTTTCAATATCTCTAAATATTTTTCAGTTATTGTGTGTGGTGTGCTTGGTCATTCTACTGTGGTTGCACAAATCAGGTGTCCTGCAACAGGTACAATAACTTTGAAATAGTAGCCGCTTCTCTAATTAATGCCGCCCTCCTTCTGATTCTGTTTCAGAATAATCCTATCCTTATAAAAAATAGATATTTTTGTCGACTGACTGCTTTGATCGGGTTTGGTTTATATTAATATTACCGGATTTAAGCACATGTAGCTGCAAATCATTCAGGAGTTACAGGCCTTAAATATAGATCTAAAATGAATATCGGACTTCTTCAAGTGACACTGACAAAACTCCTTACATGTGCTTGTATTCTTCATTTGCTAATAAGATGTATTTTTATCTAAATTACAGGACAATCGAGGCTTTGAAAAATGGAACCCAGGCAGTAATTTCAGATGGTGAAATCAAGGTAATGTTTAATTATAATAAATTAAGACTCTAAAATTGGACATAGGATAATGCAATCTCTTGTTATCTGTGGTAATGTTGCTTATTTTTAACTCTTGTCTCAGACTTTGTATAAGGATCTCTGCAGCGGTGGAGTGAAGTCTGGCCGCATGTATCTGTGGCACAATCCAGGTGTCTCGCTTAAATTAAAGCAAAGACTAAAGCCACTGATGTTCCACTTTGCTGATGCACAGGTAAATGTATACTGACTTACAATAAGCTGCATCACATTTATTTATGTGGATGCGTGGTCAGTGGGCCACCTGGGTCCGTTGTCTAATGCTGAGAGGAATGTTTTGTTCATTTTTATGTTAACGTGTTTTATAGGTTGACGAGCTGACAGAGCGGATTGGTTCATGCTCAGGAATATATAAACTAATAAAGAAGAGAGAGTTCCAGTTTCTGGACTTGGTGTTTGATGTCCTTGTTCCAGAGGTACAACGCAGTCTTCAGCAGTGATTGGTATAAAAGTTACTTTTCCAAAACATTTGACAGTGTATGAAGTAATCCTTAACAGAGTTTGGTGGCAGGAGAATCTCGTCTCTGCTTTTTGCGGATGATGTGGTCCTCCTAGCTTCACCCAGCTCTGACCTTCAGCTCTTGCTGGATAGGTTCGCGGCCGAGTGTGAAGCGGCTGGGATGAGGGTCAGCACCTCGAAATCCATGGTCCTCGACCGGAAAAGGGTGGCTTGCCAACTCCGGGTCGGGGGAGAGGTCCTACCTCAAGTGGAGGAGTTTAAGTATCTCGGGGTCTTGTTCACGAGTGACGGTAGGAGGGATCGGGAGATCGACAGGTGGATTGGTTCGGCGTCTGCAGTGATGCGGACGCTGAACCAATCTGTCGTGGTGAAGGGGGAGCTGATCCAGAAAGCCAGGCTCTCGATTTACCGGTCGATCTACGTCCCAATCCTCACCTATGGTCATGAGCTTTGGGTAATGACCGAAAGAACGAGATCGCGGATACAAGCGGCCAAAATGAGTTTCCTCCCTAGGGTGGCCGGGCTCAGCCTTAGAGATAGGGTGAGGAGCTCGGACATCCGGAAGGGACTCGGAGTAGAACCGCTGCTCCTCTGGATCGATAGGAGCCAGTTGAGGTGGCTTGGGCATCTGGTCAGGATGCCTCCTGGACGCCTCCCCGGGGAGGTGTTTCGGGCATGTCCTGCCGGCAGGAGGCCCCCGGGTCGACCCAGGACACGTTGGAGAGGTTACATCTCCAATCTGGTCCGGGAACGCCTTGGGGTCCTGCCGGAGGATCTGGTGGAGGTGGCCGGGGAGAGGACGGTCTGGAGCTCCCTAGTTGGGATGCTGCCCCCGCGACCTGGACCCGGACATGCGGAGGAAGACGACAACGTTGAAGTAATCCTGCATGTTTTTCAGGTAACAATAAAAGTGTTGGAAAAATGGGAGGGGATGAATCGATATGCAGCTGAGAAAGCCATGCTTCAGCAAATTCATTTGTACCGAAAATAAAATGGTTGTGAAATCAAGTGTTTCTTTGGTTTTATTGTCTTTCACTCAAAATAAATACCAACTAGCTAAATAGTTATCAGCTGTAGTAGTTAAATTCTGTTGCAATGAGCTGCTGTGATACACAGTAGGACAGTGTTGTGGATATTTAATAACTAATTTTTGTTGCTGGTGAGAGAGGAGTGTTGCTGAAATGTTTTTCACTGCTTCTGGGAGTCCTGTACTTTAGCAATTGGTGTAGGTCAAAAGTTCATCTTGGGCTTAACAATAAAACTGAATATTTAGCCAGTACTATTTTGTTTGCACATTTTGAAAAGTCTTAGTTTAACGTGTTCTCATTTTATCCATATGTTTTTTTAATTCACTTTACAGCCTTTTATTGTGTGTGTGTATATATACATATATGTGTGTGTGTGTGTGTATATATATATATATATATATATAATTTATATGTATGTATGTATGTGCTACTGTCATAAAAATTCCCTGTCTGAAGAACAAAGGGATTTAATATTCAATTTTCATGCAACGCAGGTAACAACATTACTTAAGTTTGCCAGTCCAGATCTGAAGAGAAAAAAAAATCCGAAATAAAAAGCTTTTTCCGGTAAGTTTTGTTTTTTAAAAAACTACTTCCAGTGAAAGTAATGACTTCTGGTTAAGGTAATGACCCACCGTGTAATTTTTCTCTTAAATGTGTACAAATCGAAGAGAAAAACGACACGGTATGGTTTTGACAAATCCAAACTACTTTTGTGCTTTGTCAATAAAGCGTATTCAAGAAAAAAAAACTACTTCCGGCAAAGGTAATGACCCGAAAAAACTACTTCCGGCAAAGGTAATGACTTCCGGCGAAGGTAATGACACTTGTTTTTCCGGATACGTCATTTCCTGTCACGGCAAAGACGCCAGCTGATGTCTGCAGCCAGATGCTCTTGGATTTTACCGTACAAAACTGTTATACTGTGATACAAATCGGGCACTAGGACCATGCGGAGGCAGCCGCCTCAAGCTGAAGGCTATTTTCCCTTAGACATGCCTACAAGCTCACTGATTGGCTCTGCCGCATCATACTAACGTGTGATTGGTTGTCCTTGCTGTCACTCTACCTTGTAGCCATGGAGACGACAGACCGGCGTTTTCCCTGCGGACAGGACTCTGCGTTCATCTACCTGTACAAGTTTTTTTTTCTGCCTGCTTCAAGTCAGCTGGATAGATTTTAATATTTGAGCTTTTGTTTACGTGCGTTTGAGTCCATGGTTAGTGTGTGTGGAGCAGAGTCAGGTAGCTGCATGTCTGGGACAGAAAATGAGACACGAGAGAGACTTCTCCTGAAGAGTTGCAGAAACTCAAAGAATCACGGATGTGTCTCACTCTAGATTCTCCGGGTCATAACTTCTGAATTACTAAACGAATAAAAATACTTCAAACGGGGTCTAAAAGTACATAAAACGAGCTTTCCAACGAGGTATTACATGATGTTATTCTTGTTACTCCAAAAATCGCTATTAGAAGGAAACCAGCTTTGCAGCATCACAGAAAGAAACGGAGGAACCGCGACGGGAGAGCGAGAACCGAAAAGAGATGATCTGATCATCTTCATCAGCAGCTTTTATAAAGTTATGGAAACGTCACAAATAAAATCCACCTGGTTGGTCAGGTGTCCCAGAAGGCTGTTTCTGTAGATGGTGACATGAGGAGGGACAGATTAAAGTCACACTGGTTTTTATTTGAACACTCAGCTGTTTACTAAATGATTCAGCTTCATTCCAGCATTATTTATACGTACAATAAATATCTATTTAGTTGAAAATATAATGTTATCAGTGCAGAATTTTATTAGTTTACTTTTTGTAATGAAATGTTTAGATTTAACCTTTTATCTGGCATATTGATCTTCGTAATGCTGGTAGAAATGCAGCTACAGTTGTGAAGTAGCCCATGAGTGTTATTTTATGATACCTAGTATTTATTTTACTGTATCCCGTTCTCTGGACCAGAGCGTAGACCTGTGGTCACAGACAGGCTGCAGTCATTAAACTGGTTAACGTGAGGTCAGGGGTCACACTTTTTTCTGAGTGTTTGCAGTTCTGAGTTTAAATACCAGTAGTTCTTTTGACATAGTTTGCTCAAGTCATTTTGAAGTTCCTGTTTAGTAATAAATGTAAAGAAAATTCAAATCAGTTTTTTTTCATTTAAGTTGCAGTTTTACAGACTTTAATAAACATAAACACTAAATACAAACCAGACACTGAAAGCTGAGGTTGTTCTGAAAAAAGGAGCGGTTACAAACATTTTACACTTTTATTACAATTTTAAAGCCATAAAACAAAAAAAAATACTTGTTATATTTATGCTCATAAGAGGGTTAAATGTGATAAATTTTCCACCTCCCACAAAGAGATGGTAAAAGTGAATGTGAGCATAATTATATACGTTTTATTACTTTATTAAGTATTTTTTATTATTGAATATTACTCCATAGAGTTCAGATGAAGGCAACTGGACTTCTTTGGTTTCTTTAAAACATTTCACTTCTCCTCTGAGGAGCTTTGTCAGTTCTAACTGGAATATGGGAGAGTCAAGCTCATAAGCTGTAGCTGTCTGTTGTTATTTAAAGAGCAGAAACTACTCTGAGTACCCCACCTCTCCATCTCCTGATGAGTCGTTAGCCTCTATTGATGGTGAGTCATCGTGTTGATTAGATGCAGGAAGATGTGACCTAGACTGAAACTGAATGAGATTAAAAAAAAAGTTCTAATCTTTTAAACAACGCTGTTGGTCCTCTTGGTCCTTGTTCTGGTTTTCTTAAAGCCTGTGTTAAAAACCTTGGTGTGTTTTTAGATGGTTCTTTTAATCTTTACAGACAGGTGAGTGCAGTGGTCCAATCAGGTTTTTATCATCTAAGGCAGATAGCAAAGGTGAAGCCATACCTTCCTGCTGTCCTCGAACATGTCATCCACCTGTTCGGTCTTGCCGATTGGACTACTGCAACTCCCTGTATTCTGGCCTGGACCAGTCCTCCCCACACCGACTTCAGCTGGTCCAAAATGCAGCGGCTCGCTTGCTGACTGGAACCAGCAAGTGGGATCACATAACCCCGGTTCTGGCCTCTCTCCATTGGCTTCCTGTCTCTTACAGGATCCGCTTCAAAATTATACTTTTTGTTTTTAAATCCCTTCATGGCCTGGCCCCAGTTTACATCTCTGAGCTGCTGTCCGCTTACGTCCCTGCCAGAACCATGAGGTCCAGCTCTCAAGCTCTTTTAACAGTTCCAAAAACCCGCCACAAGACTCGCAGCGACAGAGCGTTCTCTGTGGTTGGTCCCAAACTGTGGAAAAAGCTACCTCTCAACATCAGGACCACACAGAATCTAGAGCATTTTAAATCCCTTCTTAAGACGCAATTTTTTGATTTGGCTTTTAATGCAGGTTGACTTGAGCATCTTAATAGTTTTTAACAGTTTTTATCATAGATTGTGACTGTTGTGTGCTCATCTTATTTTAGGTTTTTATTGTTGATTTGTTGTATCTTGATTTGTTTTACCTTGTACAGCGCTGTGGTGGAGCTTTGCTGCTATAAATGCACTCTGTAAGTAAAAATTGACCTTGACCTTGACCTTGACCAAAGCTGCATTATTTGTTCTGGAAAGGTGAAATCTAAGCCCCGCCCCTATTTAAAGTGGGGTTTTCACGTTTTGACATAGATAGCTTATTTTACTCCTCTCTCAAATCATCTATCTTCTCTGTTCAGAATGTGGACTTTGTCATCGTCAAAGGTGTGTCCCTTGTCCTTCAGGTGAAGGTGGACTGCAGAGTTCTGACCTGAAGAGGCGGCTCTCCTGTGTTGTGTTATGTTCTTGTGTACTTGTTGTTTAGTTTCTCTAATGTAAACATCTGGACAGTGCTCCTACACTGGACTGCATAAACGACCCCACTGAGCTTCTGTTTGGGTATTTTGTCTTCTGGATGGACCAGGTTCTGTCTGAGGGTGCTGTTGGGTTAAAGTTTACCGGGATGTTGTGTTTGGAGAAGATTCTTCTAAGTTTCTCTGAGACTCCTGCCACGTATGTGATGATGGTGCCTTTGTGTAAAGGGTGTTGTTGTTAGGTTGGTAGCAGAGCTCTCATGTTTAGTGTTAAGTTCAGTGAGAACATGGAATGGGATCAAGAATTTTCTACTGACAGGAAAAAGATCTCAGCTAACGTAGCTGTAGATCACACTGGATAAGTATCTGTGGTTGCATTTATTTTACATTTATTTTACTACCTCTTACTAGAGCTGTCTTTAGTAAGCACAAAATATGTTTGGTTGTACACCTGTGCAATAGCAATAAAGTATCTTGATTCCTGTTAAATGTACTTCCTGAATGAGTGACCTTTACAGGCTAAAATAACAAAATACAAATACAGACAGAAGGACAACTTCTTTCTTTTTTTATAATGCGTTGCATCACCACCTGGTATCAGAACAGGACTCAGTATTGGAAGATAATCAAAAATCAAACAACTTGGACTCGGATCAGGGGCAGAAATGTGGTTGTAACATCTCTAGATATAAGTCAGCTTTAAAAACTAAAACTATTATTTATGAACTAACATTAACACTAATGACACTAATTTATATATTTTTATTATGTTGTTTGAACCCAAGGGTCTCGTTATCTGAATTTTCTAACTTATTGGATTGCTCTATAAGTGCCCCTTTTTTTACTTTGAGCACACGCCCCGTCAAAGGTCCCTGCACGGCCCTGATCTCATTCATTTAGATTTAATTATGAATTATCGACAGGTAGCAGAAGAGCCGTCAGAGCTAGTGGTTTGTCCCTCTGCTTGCTCCAGGGAAGGCCTCAGCCTCTGCTTCATTCTAAAAATGTTACAGCCTAGAAGGCAGGGAGTAGCAGAGTCGCTCAACCACAGTTTTCTGGCCAAAAGCTCCTGCTAACCTCCGTTAGCTTCAATTAGCTCAGTTAGCTCATAGCTGCATTGGCTCAGAGTTGGATGGGTGTGAATAATCTGCCC